CCAAATTCTCATTCAAAAGACTGAAATTGCCTTTACAATAATTCTTCAGCTCCTGTTAATCTCATTGCTTCCACTCTTGCAAACCAGTAGTACTAGTAGTACTACTTCTTTTTCATCTAGAGAGACCTGAGAGTGTGTTACACAGATATATTAATGAAGAGAAAGAGTGGGAAGGGAAGAAAGAAACCAAAGTTTAGGTAGGCACTCTAGAATAAAAGTATTTTCTGTTGCTAAAGACTAGTTTTATTTATAGGCTTAAAAAAGATGCTCGTTCGTGCAGTAACTGAATACTTCACTTTAAAAGAATGATTAAAAGATGCAGCTTATTACAGTAGGGAAGTATTCTGTCCTTTGTTGAAGATAGAAAGACTGAAACAGAGAGATGATTTGCTTCCCATAACATGAAGCCTGTGGCATAGCCACGAATGCAACTCAGATGCTCCAAGTCCCACTTGCCTGCCTTATTTGCAAGACAGTTCTGGGGCTTTTTGAGGTTATGTCAATTTTACAAAACTGTGACATGGTAGCTTTCTATTTTGCCATAAATGATTTATTTGATGTACAAATATTATCTGAGAGGTCAGGGTTGATGGCAGATACAGCACACCGTCCTTCCTGGGTTGTATTATTGCAGCAGTTTTATTTGTGACAAGCTAGTGAAAGGAATGACATGTTGGCAAATGAGAAGCAAAGATAAATTCTTATTTTTTGACTGCTTGCAGCATTACAGAATCCTTGCTAGAATATAACAGCTTTAAGTTGAGACGTCTAATAAGCATGTGGCATCATCATGGCTCAGACCCAGTTCTGCGTTGCCATTTTTAATGTAGATATCAGAGGAAAAATCCTAACATTAGCTTTAGAAATCAGAGTTGAGTGAGCATCACAGTCAAAACATCATGGCTATATTTATCATATTTTTCAGTGTAAATATAGTGACAAATCACTTTCAAAATAAAATGAATGGAAAAAAATACGGTTTTGTCTCTCGTCCCATGTTGGAGAACAAGGAGGGAGTGTGAGGCAGCTATGATATTTTGTGTGGTATACACAGCAGAAGCATCTGATGCACTATTATTAGCAGTAAGTGACAAATTTCTCATACCTAATCCAGCTCAGACATAGGGCCCATTCTGAAGCAGTCCTCTTTCACCTTGCGTTGGTGTTTATGAGGCCAAAACATGCTGTCTTGTTTGCACTTAGAACACAGAGATTGATGTTGTCACTCTTCACATGCCACCTGCAGAGAGGCATGTGTAAAGAAAGGTAGTTGCAGCCTCCTCCTTCCTCCTTCCTTGACTTCCAGATCTTCAGTCCTCTAATATTAAAGTACCACTGTCTTTCTGTAACAATGTAATCGCAGCAAAACACAAGGGATTAATATTTCGTAATTCTGCTAAGCTAGTGATGGGGGTGTTTTGGATTTCATTTTTATATCTCAAAGCACACCTGCGTCGTTCCGTTATGATACAATAACGTTCTGCCAGGTCCTACAGTCTTATCCATCATTTTTAATAACTTCTGTTTATTTGCCTTTCATTTGGTTTTACCAGCTTCCTGGTTTTTTTTACACCTTCAGACTCCATGGGGAGCTGGTGATTGCCTCTCTTTCACTAGTTAGTTTCCATCACAGTAAAAAGATTTTCCCCTAGGAAGTAACGTTCTATTTGATTAATCAAAACCATGGTCCTGTTTCTTATCTTTTTAAAGTGCAGTAGCTCAAGGAAGTAGCTTTACGGGTAAGGAGAGCCATGAGGGTTTTGCGGAGTGATGTTCTACGTATGTGGGGAAGCTGTGCGCTTGCTGTTCTGTGTGCTCTTACAGAACAGATGGATCTTGCAGGAGAAGGCTTTGGTGTCAGAATGCAGATCATGCTCTTTTGCCATTTTAGATTTACCTCGTTTAAATGCTTTGTGAGAACACTTCAAAATGTGATTGCATAGGAGCCAAATAATACCACCCTCAGGATATGCATCCTCGTGATAGCTATCTCATTTTATCATGCAAACAATATCACTGAATTAGTGTCATCCTCTTTATACAATTATTTAATATTGTGGTGATTCTGAAGCTTTTAATAACAGCTTATCAAAGTAGCCTGATGGCTCTGCTGCTACTGGGACGTAGGAAGCAGACTTGTGACTCTTAACTCCCAGTAAGATATGCAGAAATTGAACATATTGAAAAAACTGAGCCTTTTTTTCCCTGAAGAATGAGCTGGAGAAGAGCAAGTTACGAGTTCCTTCTTTTGAAACTGCCTACTGTCTCTCCTGCCTCCCATCCCCAAAAGTTGAATACTGTAGTCCTGTGCCAAGAGAAATTCTGCAGAGTAGTTGCATGAATGAAAGAAGGCCTTCTTCAGTCTTCATGAGTGATTGCTGTGAAGGTCCATCTCCTTACTGTATTTTCGTGATAAGACAAGAGCATGCTTCTTACTCAGTGGTGTGTCTTCTTACTACAAATTGTCCACACAATAATGTATTTAAATTTTTGTGATAATTATAAGATCTGTGAAGACATGATCTTCCTTGCAAAAAGCTGGTTGTCTGTAAAGGAATACCAAACTACACCCGCATGAGGATGACGATTTTCTGAAATCAGTTGTTCTAATTTCAGCATGGTAACAGTGTCAATTGTCTTTCCAATCACGGTCAGAGTTCCCTTTCTCCTGAGAGCTATTATTTTCTCAGCGTTGAATCACACTGCTTTCACAAATCCATCATTGCATCTTTATCATCTTAACAACTGGTACCGTGATGCAAAAGTAAGGCATAACAAAGATTGTCTGTCACATTCAGTTCACAAGCAGCATCCTCTGTACATATTAACATGTGGAATTCTCAGATATGAAGAATGCCATCTGTGACAAAACCATTGTAGCCAGATTGTTTCTCTAATTTTCGTTTTTCCTGAATTGTATGATGTTTTGTACAGTTGCATCTCTGAAGTAGTAAACACTCGAGCTCCTTAGAAAAATAGTGATTGGTTATTTAGCTTATATTTACCCAGATGAATAGGTAGTATTTCAGCATTTTCCTTGGATCTCTAGGTAAAATAATGGTTAGAAAGCTTCTACTTTGGAATACTTTGGAGTCTTGGTTCTGGTTCTGAAACGCTTTACTCCAAAGGCTAACCCAGTTGAAAACAATCATGTTTTCACATTGACCTATTTCTATCGTGGGTGAGAAGTTATTTTCATTCCTCCATCCTTGTAATAGTCTTACAAATAGATTATCATGGAAGAAATTTTCCATAGGTTATTATTCTGAAAGGGTGAAGAGCTGCTTGCCTGTTGTGATGGATTACATCACAATGCTTTTATAGAAAGTAAAATATATATATTTGTATATGTAAAAGTGTATAATGTCTTAAAACCACCTAAAACACTTAACAATGACCTTATACAACATTAAAATGTGATAAAATAAAAAAGTTTATTTCACCCGTTACTGACATTTACACATGCAAAATTTCATTTCAGAGGCAGCTACTTAAGAGTCACAGTGTTCCCATCCCAACTTTTATACTCGATGTGAAAATGTCCAGTTAAAATTACAGAGGAAATATTTACATAGACAGAATATAGTATTTCTAACTGAGATTCAGCCAGAAGCTTCAACCATATTCCTTCCATCCAAAAGGAGACTTTAAATAACCAGAAGTGTTCAAAGCCTCTTGATTTTTTTTAGTCCACAATAACATCTCCAAAAAGACATTTTTCATTGCACTGGGGTATCAGTTCAATATTTATTCAAAAGGAAGAATTCAGTGAACTGCATTACTGCTTGAAAAACTGGAGGTTCCTCATCTAGCTATTGGCATGGTATGATTCTGCTTTCCCAATATGACACCTCATGAGGGAGATGTCGCCTAAAGGTACCTTTGGGTGCAGGTGCTTTAAACCATGGAATCTCTGGCTATTAAAGGAACTCAATTTGCTTGAAGAAAAAAACCCTTTTCAAAAGTGAAGAGAATTTGGCTTCATACAGCAATCTTTAGGGACCATATATGCTGGCCACACTTTTCCTATGAACACAAAAGCTGCAGACTGCTGCAAATTGTCTGTAATTGTAAAGACCTTTAGAAAAAGAGGAGAAATACCACTGTGCCCCACCTATGTTAAATGCAGCTCATCCAGACCTGGTGACTTAACTCAGTATATTTTTATTTTATTAATGTAGTCAAATGTTTCTTACAGCCATCAAGAGAGCCTGTAGTTCTTATTGCATGACATGCAAATTTCCACTTCCAGAGAGATACTATGCTAATTTTTAAATTTACTCAGGTTTTATTTCATAAGAACTTACTCAACTTTGTGTTCTGCTGTGATTTACAACACTTAAAAATCTCTCATTGAGAGCCTGATTTAGTGCAGAATAAGTCTAAACATGTTTTATTTTGCCCAAGTAATTTTTTTTTTAATCTAGGCCCACTCTGGGCCTGGATTTGAGTAGGAAGTGTATGCTCCTTTACTGAAATTCTTCATGAAAGGCATCTATATAAGTGTAAACTAGTATGACAAATGAAAAATTGAAAGTTAGTCTTTCAAAGGTTTCTGGCATTCCTCAATTTCATCTTCTGTACTCTAAGTTAAAAATCTAGCTGTTTACTCATAGTAGTAGCTGCTTCTGCATCAAAACTAGTGCTTTCAGTTAGTGCAAAGAAGTTCTAAGACGCTGCAAAACAAAGGCTCTATTCATACCAGAACAGAGTCATATTCAAATCAATATAAATGTCATCTTTGCCTTCTCTGTTCAACTGATTCACTTTGAAAGAAGATGCCAGTTTTCAAAATTCAGAGATTTGGAAACAGACGGTGCTTCTCCTATGTGTCCAAAAATACAGATATAATGAACTTACTTACTTACCAAAAAAATTTAGTATATAATCAAATAACAATCTAAAATCCTTTAAATGACTAATGCAGTTTGAATACAGGTATGTAGACATAAGCATTATTTAAATTAAAATGACATTTTGCTATGTATTTTTCAATATAGGGTCCTTCTGGGCTAAAAGGAATTCTGGATTCCCTGAACAAGCATTATAATGAGGTATGGCCATCGGATCTTTGTGTGTGTGTGTGTGTATTTAAGAAGTATCTAAGATAGGAATGACCACAGTTTCAATTGCTACAAACCACAGAGCAAATTCTTCATCTGGCCAAAAGGTAGGCCCTTCTCTACTCTTTTTTGGCATCTCTATTTAGGGCCAGGCCATGACTGGGTCACACACCTAGTGCTGCCCATCCTGCTGCCGTCTGTCTTGCCTCCCACACATACTCTACTCCCATGTTCTTGCCCACCTTATCTCAAAAAGGTTGGACCATCTAGCTATTAGTGTAAGGCACTGGCTCCCCATATTACTAAATCTAATTGCTCTAAACCATCCTTGACATTTCTCTTTCTCACCTAACCTATCATGATCCTGAGAGCAGAATAGAAAAATAAGAAGGTAGAAGATAAAAAGATCTGCTTGTGTTTGTAAGAATTATCCTTACATTTACATTATGGACTAACACACATATTGTCTTAATTCTATAACATGCTGCAGCTGCAAACTTTGCAGAAACAAGTTAAAATTGCATTTGACAGTATTCCATGTGACAACACTGCTATTCTGTCCTTTGAATTTTTACCACAGATTTTTCAAATCATTTATTCAAATCATTGTAATGTCTGCCATTCTAAGGCACTGTGATTCAAAGATGTCCCAAGTTTTCTTAACTGATGCTAAAATGAGTAAAAAAATTGTGATCAATATTTCTATTGTGAGCAATAGAAAATTGCGCTTCATTCAAAGGCTAATTAAACATTATTGCAGGAATATTTGCATAATACAAAGGCTACTGTGTGTTTCATGCTTTATGTCACACGGGTCAATTCTGGTGGACATTTGACATCGCTTTTAGTGTTAAAATGCGTAAGTATAGGGAGCAGGTGAATTCAGGCCGTTTTTCTTATACAACATCCAGATGAGTATTCAAATCTCTTTTGGAATAAAGATTCTGGAGTCAAGTTCATGTCAAACATATCTTTCAAGTTGCTTTTATCACTGAAGTGATTTCTCTGATATCTCTGATACTTAATCCTTGCCAAATCAGTATATCACCTTAGCACATGCGTTGCTAATGCTTTAGCTATGTCAGGAATTAAGCATAGTTTTGTATGCTATCCTGGAAAGGGACATTTTCCTACCTGGAGACCTAGTTTCTGTGCTTGCTCTGCCATTTCGTGTGTGTGTATTGAAGTTCTATATATTTTTATTTGTACTTTCTGTTTTCCTGTGAGTTTCTTCTTGTCACCAAAACCAGCTTTCACTGCTACCAGTCCTCTTTTCTTTATATATATCATATTTATGGTAACTCGTTCCTACCTCTGGGCTATTAATCTTTTCTCCCTCGATGGTACCCCTGCTTAGAGGGGACCATTAACCCTTCTAAGGTTAGTTCTGCAAACAAGAAATACAAACATTGGTGATCTTGAGGAACTGGCAAGCATCTGTCTCTAAAAATCACATTTCTTATAATTGTAAGGATCTAAGAGATCCTAAGGTGTCTTATATTTCCTAAGTAATCTTCTGACAAAATGTAGACCAGCTGCTCTTTTTCTGTAAATGAATCATTTTTAAGTCCTTTACAGCTCACCGACTTTTTTCTTCCTTCAGCTGTCCGCTCTGAAGATTTTAATAACTTTGTCATTAGCAAGTAACTGCTCAACAGGGAAGTGTAAAGGTTTCATTTCAGATGAGAGGAGATGACTTTTGATTCAAGTAGCAGGTTTTAAGCAGGATTTTCCCAGATTTTTGGAATCACATGTGCAGATCTCACTAGAGTTAACCTGAGCCTTCAATTGCTGCAGGATATGAATTAGATTATGTACAGTTTATGAGGGGAATGGGGACCTCTCTAGAGAAGAGAGGTTGTCTGCTTTGCTACAAAACTGTTATTTGTCAAGGCAGATGCATGCATCATTAAATTTCCTTTTTTTTCCACAGTACTTTGTAGTATGATGAGTGCTTACTTTGTTCACTGCACCTTGGAGGTGCCAAAAAATCTTTCATTCTCCAATATGTAATTTACAATGTGCTTCAAGATTAAAAGCATTTGTAAGATGATATTTCAGTGATATTCTGAGTTTTTGAGATAGCTTACACTACAGGAAATGATCCTGTCATTTCCTAACATTTTATGCGTATGTTCAAGGATCTCGCAAGGTCTTTTTTCTTCACCTTTTTTTTTGTTTTTGAAGTTTTTAAGCTGTGACCAGATCTGTATTGCTATAGAGATGTTAATAGCAAATTTCTCTGAGGTTATTTGTATGGCTTCTTTACACTGATATTTCTAGGAATCATGACAAGCACTGCTACCAAGAAAGGCAGAGAGTCAGTAAGCAGTGACCTGTAGACCAGTCAGAATTTAATAAAATCTCTTTACTGTCATTTCTTTGTTTCTTCACAGCTTATTCTGTGCTTAAGCCTTCAACAATTGTTCCAATTTCTATATGGTAACAATGAGCTGTCATGATTGCAGAATGTATTTATCTAATTTGTTGCAAGGAAGCTTTCTTGGTCTCTGTATCGATCACCTTATCACATGAAGAGGCTGGAATGCAGCTCTTCAAAAATCTAATTTGCTTAACCCAAAATATAATCTAATCTGCTTAACCCAGATATATAATAAAAGAAAACACTGTAAATATTAGTGCTGAATTTCAGTAGCAAATTATGGTGAATAGCCAGTCAAGAACAGTGCTCTTTCTTTACTGAAGAGGAGGGGAACCTGCTGAAGATGAGTAGTGGTATTGATCCTTAATGGGGTGGGAGACAGTGCTGGAGCGTGTCTTCCCTCTCCGTTCTTCCTTTATCCCTGTTCCTGTTCAAGGCATGTGACTACTTTCGTATTCATTCTTGTTATGTCTTTTGTGCTTTCACCATAAATGAGATGCTTTGCATGTGTTGGATACATTACTTTTATTCTCTTATGCCACAAAACTGGTTCTGCCCTGCCCTCTAGGTTACATTCTTTTAGTGACCAGTAAATGACAACTCATGAGTTGTGTTTATGCATTTAGGGACCCCTGGTTACCACCCTTTCCCTGTGCTTTCAAGGCCTCTGCTGTTTTCTCATGCTCATTTTCTTGGGGACCCTTACTATGAATTTTTTACTTATCGTTTTAACGTACATACATATATGGCCACTTCAGTGAAACCTGCTTAATCTAAAATGGTGTCCAACACATAAAAATAAAAATTAAACCACAAGACAACTGAGACCACATCACAAACTGCTCAGGAAACTTTTCAAAATTATGAGCTGCTTCTTGAATAATCAGTTATTATTTTCCTAGCACTTTTTTCTTTGTCATATTTTTCTTACTTTTTTTTGTAGAGTAAGTGACCTGCAAAAAATGGTTACTTGCTCTAATACCCGTGCATTATTTTTTAATATATGCAAAGTAAATGCACAGCTCAAGATAAATCAGAATTTACAGTATACTCATCATATAGTAACAGGCATCTAGATTGTTCTCAATCAAGTGGTAGTCAGCTCCTACTCAGCAGTATTCAGGTTCACTTCACTGAGTATCTGCCTCTGTCTCTGGAGCTGATAGCAATAATTAGGGATAGTTACTGTGTTATGACCCCTAAAAACTAAAGAAGATCCTTCAAGATATTAACAATTAGAAAATAATTAGAGATTTTATTCAAGTTATATTCAGCTATCAATTCCTTTAACATTAACAAAGTTTAAGAGCCGCATTTATTCACCATGACATTTTCCCATTTTACAGATATGGAAACTGGAGCATGGCAAGGTGAATTAACTTGCTTAATGTTCCCACTTAGCCCAGGAGCAGATGTCGTAGGACTCAGACTCCTTGGGTCCAAACTCAAGGTCATTTTCCAGGGCCATAGGCTGTTTGAACTAATTCTTATTGTTTTTTTCTCGTTATTAAAAGAAAATGTTCCCCTTATATAATATACCTGAGTCTATACCTGAGAATATAATTACCCTGAGTCTGTATCTGTGAAGTTGAAACCTTTTACTTTCTATTTTACTGTGTATTTGCCTTGAACAGAAGAGTAAACAGATGCAGTGCAGTAGTATCTCAGTAAGCTTACAGCCAGAACCCCTTCTTCCTTAAATTTTGTTTGTTTTTTCGGAGAGTAGCGTGAGGAGCCTGTTGATTATACTCATTCCATCTCTTTCTGTCTCTCTGCTATAGTAGAATTAATTTAGTTCTATTTTATGTATTTCATGCTGCTGAAAACTGAGATGAAGTGCTCGTGTCTTTTTCGTATGAGAGAAATGAGGGGGGTTGTTCTTTTCTAACGTACTTGAGAAATGTGCTGTGATTATCAGCATAAGAATATACTCTTTGCAATGAACTAAGAGCAAAAAAAATTTCACAGGTTCACATAGCAATATTCAACATAGATATTTTCCCTTTTATGTTTTTGTATATCTTTCACTAGAGTGAATGGAATATGAATGCATGACAAAGAATTATTGCTGCAATATATTACTTACATGTACTGCAGAGGAATTTAATATCACTTTCTAATAGTAAATTAGGACTTTTGAGTTTACATACTGGCAAATTACATGAAACCGTTATGGTAACTACATGGTAAATGCATGGTGGTATGTTCTGTTTTCCAATCTTTGCTACGCTATTTCTTCCCAGAGTGATACAAGACTACTAGGATTACTAGGCACTCCTGGATTTAAAGGCCAGAAGGGAGAAGTTGTAAGTATTTTGGATGAAATTTGGAGAAATTTCAAAGCACCTCCATAACCTATCTCTGCCTCTTTTGCCATAGTATCTTTTATCTGATTTATCACAAAGTTCTTTGAAGAAATAGCAGAGTTTAAACGTGATTGACTCTTTGATCTGTGTTGTCCAATATCCAGCTCATTGTGCTAGCCTGCAGGTGCCTCGTGCGAGCCTTTATTCTTTATCCATGCTAGCCAGAAAGGGAGAGTACAGGAAAAATTGTATGTGATTTCTGTAATACTGACTGGGGAGAAGTCAAATGGGATGGGCTGCCACTTAGGGGGAAAAGTCTCTGGAAAAGTTGAAATTCAAAATTATTTTTAGTAGTAAATCGTGAATGTTTAAAGTAGTTTCTCCGTACAGTGAGACTTGTTATACCAAACATTTATAGTCAGCCTATAAAAATTGCATGGAGGTCAGACTCTGAATCCAGATCTTTTGATGGTGTAATGTTTATAGGCATCTACCCTGTTTAAATAGTGGAATGAATTTTTGACAACTGGATGCCTTTTAAATTTGGGAGAAAAGAGGCAAGCCCTCACAGATATGTGATAGGACATAGGGTCTACTGTAGAAAATAATCATTTAAATTAATTTGGAGATGTTTAAATCTCAAATTTCTGTTTCGATACAAGTTAAGATTTTGTGTCCTTCACAGAACAAAGTGTGGTTGAAGGAGAGGACGAGTTTCTTTCCATTATTAAAATAAAAAAGGTTGTAAATATAACTTATTTTGTTTAAAGGGTCAAAAAGGAGAAGTGGGAATGACTGGTGCAAAAGGAGAAAAGGTAAAATAATTCCTTATTTCTGTGCTTACATGTGGTGCTAGAAGATGGCTGAACATACTGATTATGAATCAAAGCTTGGAAAATAAACTCAGGGTCAAGAAAAAAGTATGTAGATACAGGAAAAGCTGTAGGGCTCTGAAAGTCCTTAGTAATTTACTGAAGCTCCATCTTGAGAGAGTATTTATGTACGTGTTACTTTTCCCTGTTTAACAGCTTTTCGGTGTTCCAACAGCCCACACAAGTCCTTAACTTTAAATATGTTCAGATGTTTACTGGATATCAATTTAAAATTATGTTTGTGTAAGTTCATGATCAGTGATTATTGATGAATTAGGCATCACTCATACTTCTTAAAATTTAAAGCATGATCTTCAATATCTGTATGAAAAAACAGATTTCTTTAAAATATTAAAATTTACTCTCTTTTTAGTTCAAGCATGGCAGAATTCTGTTTTCTCTGTGTATTCATAGTCTTCTAATTAAATTAACATTATCTCTCAAGTGAACTTGCATAATGCAAATATTTTATTTAAGTACAAAACCTATTGTTTCACGTGTTGTTCACCAAAACCTGAGATATATACTACTTATCATTTGAAGTAACCCTGCGAGTGTTAACATCGCCTGTATGTTTCCATAGGGAGAGCCTTCTGAAAAAGGGGACAAGGGAGATCCAGTAAGTGTAGTTAAGATTTGAACTGGTGATGTGAATGGCCTATATTTGATCTGATTTTCATACTATATTCATACTGTGATCTTTTTCTTTCTATATGTTCATTAGGTTCCGTGATTATGTAGGATAACATATTTATTGTCTCCTCCCTATGCGTGCGTCAAATTCAAATAGGTTATAAATAAAAATCTGAGATGGGGCACAGTGTCCTGTTCTTCAGCATTCCTATTGGGACAGATAGATTGTCTGTTGTCCTTAAACTGAGTTTAGTCAGATACTAACTTTTTTTTCCTGATAGTTCTTTCTCTCTCATTTATTTCACAAAATTTTGTGGGAAGAACTATACTGTTGTAACTGTTCTATCAACTTTCACAATGCAGCATTTAACATGAGGGCATACCCATTCAAATATGCAACAAACATACAACCATCTCGTTGGGAAGCTCCAGGCAATTTTCCTATAACCATTTTATGTGTGCAGAATTTTTCTTTATTTTGGAGAAAATTTACAGAACACATTCCTTAAGAGTCTGTTTGTGTTGCTTATTTTTAATTAACTCTTGTCCTCTCTTGTGACGTACGACAGAAGCTAGTAATGCTGTTTAATACACAAGTGAAGGTTGCTTAGATACTTGTGGTAATCATGTTATAATAACCAAAATAAGGCATACTATAGTAATGCATTGTTTTGGAGATGAATACTGTGTCACCAACAGAGTAGTAATTTACTGTGGAGCAATAAGCTTTAGACTGGAGAAGCGCTTAAGCAAATATGTTGTTTTCATGCAAATGTTCCTGGAAACACTAGGAAAAAACTACTAATAGCATTATTTTTAAAGAGCAACGTGTTTCAAAGTTTCCACAAAGCATCAGCCATTTTTAACATTTTTTCAATATTTTTTAAATTTGTGAGTTATATGATCATATTTTAAGGTAGTGAATTAAACTCTTAGTTGATCTTACTCTAAGTTTCAACTTCTTATGATCATTTATTCTATTTTCAGGGAGAAACTGGATTGGAGGGATCAAAAGGAAATAAGGTATTTCTTTACTTGTACACACTGTATGCATCACTGGTGTGCATAGCTGATAGTGGGAAACATAACAGTAAGTTTGAATTTTTTCTCAAATAACATCATTAGGGTGAACCAGGACACCCTGGACCACCTGGTCTCATGGGAAATCCAGGATCAAAGGTATGTTAAAGGTATTCTTGTGGAATTAATATAGCAATTACAGTCATCTTTGCTTGCTGTAGTACAATAGCACCCTGAATGCTATCAACTATTTAACTACTACTAGAGGGCAGAGACTCCAAATAGTTTGTGTCAATGGTTTGTGCAAAGATCATAACTATTTTACTTCTAGTTCATGAAGTTCTTGTTGATTTCAGTATCAATAAGGAAAATTTATGCAAAGCTCAAATTTTATTTGGTTGCTTAAAAATATGAGCACCCATTTTGCAGTCACAAATGCACTAATAACTGAATGTATCCACTTTATCCATCAGTGAGGCAAGGAGTAACCAGTGCAGGTACATTAGCATTTCCTATGTTTAATTCTGTGAGATTGCTAATGTTAAAGTAGTCATTGCTTTGATTTGAAGAAAATGGTTTCTTCCTCTGAACTATGGCACTATTTGTTCTTCAGGAGTTCACATGATCTCTGGAATTCTATCAAATAAGGGTAGAAAAGGAAACTAAAAAGGTAACCTTCCATTCAAAGCTATTCATGTTCCAGATGGAGGTGAATAAGTGCATTCACCAGGCAAAAGCAAGAGTAGCACTTCTGACTCCAGTAACCAACTGAGAGGTAGTAGAATAGTACCCAGGTCTCTTAGATCATCAGAAAGAAGTCACAAACTGAACTTCCCTTAGTTAGTGGCTTTTTATGGAAATTAATGGGACTAATCCTTAGGAGACTAAGGGAGAATGACTGAGTGAAGTTGTATGTGTGTGTGTGTGTGTGTGTGTGTGTGTGTGTATTAGAGTGCTTTACAGTGAAATACTACAGGTATGATGACTTTTGTCTCAGGTGTGTATTATTATACCATCTCACAGGGACTGCAAGGACCTCCAGGATCTATTGGACCCAGAGGACTACCAGGAGAAGTTGTATGTATTTTGTATTTTCACCAACCTGTAGAAGTGCAGGGTGTAAACAGTTAGCCAGTGAAGCAGTCTCGCAGAAATTATCATTGGTACTCTGTGAGTGGTGCTATAGAAATCAGCCTTCAGAGCACAGTGCTATGCTATGCCTCAGGACAGAGTTCTGCCATACGCTTATGTTCTTTTTGTGCTTATGTTACCATCTGCACAAGCAAGTAAGGATGCTAATGCTAATTTTTCTGATTCACAGATAATTAACTCTACCAGAATCCCTCTTATCTCACAAGAGTAGGTGAAAACTGAAAGACTCTCTAGCAGTTTGCATAATATTGTTATACAGTGAACTGGAAAAGGCTGTGTGTGTGGAGGAAGATGAGAAGCAGCAGGGAAAATAAGAGTATCCCGAGGATTCAAACATGTGACCTTTCCTATTCTTTCTTTCTATATTTTAGTATTATTCTGAATTGGTATACTTCCCTTAGAAGGGGTAAACAGCAATAAGATGAACAGAATAAACAGTTACATTCATTATTTTAGCAATGAGGTCAGATTTGTGAGTAAAACTCAGATGCAGAGCTGGACTCGTCTCTAAGTACTATAATACATTATATGGCTGTTATAGGTGACAAATAGTCTAAATTGTGAATGCTGACAGGCAGCAGATAATTGTATGTATTTGGGTGAATGTCCCAAACGTTTGAACTCTCAAGCAAAAGCCTGCTACTGGCTAGCTGCAACTGTTAGAAGCTGGCTGTAAATTTTGATAGCACCTGGACTAAACAAAAATGGCACATCCTGAATTCTCCAGATAATAAAGAGACACAAGACAGGACCACCAAGTAGGCGGCTGATCACCAATTGTGCTTCTGCACTTAAACTGCTTAGATTGCGAGAACCAGGGGGCTGAGGTTCCAGAAGGAAGAAGTGGTGCTGAAAAGGAAGAGGGTTCCCAAAGGGAAGAAGTGCTTTCAGAAGGAAGAAAGGGGTCTGGAAAGAAGCAGGTGAAGATCTGGGGTGGAGGAAAGATCCTGAAAGTAGGGGAAGGTTCTGGAGATCAGGGAGATATGTGGGGACAAATGCCAGGGGACACCCAGGGACCGTGGCCACTGTGAGCAGCTGTACAGCTCAAACCCATATGACTTTCTGCCCAGCTTCCTGCTGGAAAGGGAAGTGGAAACCTAATGACCATAACACGTTGGGAGGGGTTGAGTGAGTGAGAGTGTGAGACAGTCAAGTAGGGTAAAAACTCAGTGGTTCTTAAATAAACCCCAATATCTAGATCCACTATGGGTTGTTATTTACTCTGTCTCTCCTGTGACATAATGGTGTCAGAAGTGAGATATTAACAGCTTACTGAACTTCGAGATCGTAGCTGATTATGGGGGACCCTCCAGGAGGAGCGTGTGTGTATCTGTGTGCTGCCTCACAGTACTGATAGCCAGTGGCCTCACCAGAGGAGTAGTGTGTCTGTAACTCTTATGCCTGTGAGAGGAAAGTGTGCAAGTCTATGGGCAAGTCTGGGTCTGACAACCCAGTAGGGACCTCACTGGGGAGTTAATGTACTTGTAACCATTATGCTTTTGGGCACCAGGCATACAGATCTACCAGCTGGCTGGGGTCTGTCTACCTAATGGGGGTCTTACTGGGGATTTAGTGTGCCTGTAACTATTATGCTTCTGGGATGGCAGATGCACTGATCTACCAGCTGATCAGGGCTCTTCAGGCCAAGCACAGGCCTTATGGGGAAATTAGTGTGCCTGCGACCATTATGCTTGTGGGCAACAGCCACATGGATCTGCCAGTGATCCGGGTCCCTCATGCCAGCAGGGGCCTGACTGGAGATCCAGTGCTTCTGTAACCCCTACACCTTCAGGCAGCGAGAACATGGGTGAAACATCCATGCCCACACTGTGGGGAACGTCTTAAAGTATTAGACACCCTTATACTTAGCATGAAAGTTCCCTGGGCACTTGACTTTACTTCCTAATATACCAGAATGCCTGTTCTGGGGAGATGGCTGCCTGTCTCCCGTTTAAACTAGAGTGCAACCCATTTTTAGGTGCACAGGCAACTATGGTCTGCCTAATCCCCATAGAAACTCAAAAAATTAGTGTTCATACCACAAGGGTGGTACCTTCCCCCTCTCCCCTCGCCTTCCTTCCTCCCTCCCTTTCTCCTGTTTTTACATACCATTTTAGTGCTTAGAGCACTCATCTGAGAAGTGGACTAAAAAGCTTAGGTTTAGCCTAGCAGTTAAGCAGTCACCCGAAAAAAGCTGGGATTCTGACCTTTGCTCTGTGGACTGTTTTTGTTTTTCGTCTTACAACTACAAGCAGAAGCATCTGGGAGCTGGTGCTGCTGTGTTTTGTCTTAGGCCTTTCTGAGACTGTACTCTATAGCAGGAAACTCCTTGTTTGAACAGACCGTCAAGATTCTGTTTATTTTATTAATGTTAAAAGACAGTTCTGAGCGTTACGTAGCACGGTCAGCAGAACTATTACTCGTAAAACTCTCAGGGATACATGCAAAGTGAAAGCTGGAGTACAGAATGTTCAGCTCCTTATAGGAAAAGACTAATAATTGAAGCTGCATGTAATCATTTTGTACTGTTACTTATCTACCATTTCTTTATACTTTATGTTCATCCTCAGTTGAAGCAGGCACATATTTTTGTCTAGTCTGCCTGTCCTCTGTAACTATAGTTTGCAAAGCTTTTCTGCTGTGCTCGTACTCACACACAGATCCCAATTCTTACTGTAAGAAATAACAAAGCACTGCATTTCTGTTTTCCTTGTATTGCCGTGGTCCCATTTGAGTCCATAATTGCTGGGTTTGAAACTGCTGTTGTTCTGGATCTTTGAAAAAGTGATATTTTAAATAAGCAAATAAATAAACTTCATATGTAACATATGTAGATCCCATATATAGGTGATCTTGAAGACTTATATTCATACACACATGCTTGTATTCAAAAACATATGTGTGATTTCAAAGTCAGATTCACAAGCGACAGGAAGTCATATTTGAATTTTACCGAAAATGTCTTTGGGCAGAGACTTTATCTTCTTTCATTTTTATTGCAATACTAGTATACAATATTTAGGTCCAAGCTCATTGGGTTGTTTTAAGTGCTAAATATGAAACATTATGGATTAACAACTGGAATTATTGGTCCTATGCAGCATGGTGAAAATTATGAAAGGTTGAAAATAGTTTCACTTACATCATCAAAGAGCCATCCAGCAGATAAGACTTGCTTCTTTCCTTTCCTAATAAGCCTTTTACACTTGGTTCTGGAAAAGAGAAAAAAAAATAAACAGAGAAATCCTTAGGAAAGAAGATAGAGCCAGACTGTATACTTTTTATGTCAATATCAAAAGGGGATAGGGTAGGACACAACGTCTGATCCATAATCAGTAAATTTGAATTTTCATATATTCTTGTAATGGTTTCCTGTTGGTGAAAACAGAATATTCTTTGTTCAGCTACACTTCTTCTTTTCTTGTGCTTTTAATCTGGATGACTGTGTGAAACAAGTAGCTGTCTGTCTATATGAAGTTGAGAGTGCAGCAGAAAGAGCGAACACACAGCTGTTGAACCGTATCTACCGACATGAAAATGTCATCATCCTTCATATACAAATTCTCACAAAGCTGTGTTCCACCCTGCAAAGCAAAATAAAAGTGATATGTATTTTTATGTCTTTTTTTCAGAAAGTTTGTTTGCCATGTGTGTTTAAATACACATTTGCTAGGTGTATTTGAGTACAGTCTACAGATATAACTGTTTAGTTTAGACAATGTTATTGTTACTATCATTTGCTATCATTTACTGGGGTTCTTAATAAAATGCTGTATACAATAGTTGAATAGCTTTGAAGAGTTATAGGAAAAGTTTTCCATATTTGTTCCAGCATAGTGAGAGAACATCAGCAATCAGTTTAACCTTCTCAATTATTTGAATAGTTTCTATTTAGATTTTATTTTCTTTAATTTCTCTACCTTTATGCAACTCTTTGAGGAGCAGAAGAAGAGAATATACTGGAGTTAAAAACAAAATGTGAAAGATGAAAAGGAGATTCAGACAAAAAAAGGATAGAATACAATTATTTTGCTGAAGTAGTTAACTATATCCACTGAATATCTGAAACACTTTAAAGGAATTTGAGGAATTAATTAATGTGCAGGAGTAGGAAGTTACTGATGCTTTTAAGAAAGGAGTTTGCATAATTAATGTAGGAAATCATGGAGTGCTTTATAGCCAAAAATGCATGTTTACAATTTGAAATTCGTTTTTTACCTGCTGCCATCTTCCTTGAAAAATGATTGATTTTCAAGACTTGGGATTGTTTTGAAATTAAATTTAAAAAAAATCTTAAGACTCTGCCACCCTGTACTGATAGGGCCTAGAAAATATCGTTGAGTAGTAAGCTTTAATTTAAAGGAAAATGATATGTACATTTGAATAAATTAAAATTCATTAACTTGAACTCTTTCAACATCTGGCCTAATATTCATGCATGGTAAATAATCCAGCATAAGCTCAATTTCATCTGTAATTGTAGATACATTTTAAGGGAGTATGCTATAAAAATGCAAACTGATATTTTAAATTGATTCAAGGGCTTACCAGGAGAGCACGGGTTACCAGGAAAACCGGGAGTTAAAGGAGACAAGGTATGTTTTAACTGCTTGTAATTAACCTTGGCATATTAGAGTATACTTGACTGCTCCTGAAGTAATCTTCTATCCTTCTGTAGTACGTCTATCTGATTGCTTTACGAATTAATTTAAAAATGAACAAGCAAAATCCCCATCTCCTCCTCAGAGATGTTGCAGACCAATTTGCCAACTCAATTGCTCTTTAAAAATCATAATTTCAGTATTATTTAAAGATGGGCACTTAGTCTATGCAGTGCAGAAATACTAGTTCAGGTCTTGAAAGCAGAATAGCCTTTCCAGTAGAGTGCCCTAGCCAGACTCATATAAACCTCTGCTTCAAAGCCAGGCTCATTAATCTTAGCAGGGCAGTGATGCCGCTATACTGCCTCCAGATCTGAGCCAAGCCTGGGATCTCTTTATGGCATTGCATTGTGCTGCGCAGACATTCCCTTAGTTGGAAATCAGCTGCATCAGCAGGGGTCTGAAAATGGCATAAGTATAATGATATATGCTGTATCTAGAGAAGGGCAGAAAAGGTGATACACACGCATCCTGTGAGCTATGTCATTTGTTATGGTATTTATACATCTTGAGGTTCAAATGAAGTTAATATAATCCATTAATACTTTGAAGAAGTGAGCTGCTGAAAAGGCAGGAGTGGAAAATAACTGGAATAATGTAAACAGGAGTACAGTGAAGAGCTTAAGAAGGAAAAAGTAAAGTTTAACTAAAGATGAAAGGTAAGTAAAGCAAAGACCAAGATTTTAGCACTAGGAATAGATAGCTGGTGAGAGAGATTTGAGGGTTGTTATTGTGGAATAATTGGCAGGTTTTTATGACAGCCCACATATTGGAGGACTTAGGAGAAAGAAATATAGATTAGATACATGGCAAGCATTGCATATTTTTCTGTAAGGAAGAATTCTGGTGTTCCAAGTAGTAATTCAAATTTATCTTGCAGGGGGACCCTGGTGGGATTATGGGACCGCCTGGGCATCCAGGTCCAAAAGGTGAAGTGGGGCCTCCTGGGCCAAGTCTGCCTGGAGCACCAGTAAGTCCATAATCTGAAAAGGCTTTTGTGAATTGATTTCTTGTAGAGAAAACAATTAAAGAATCCTCATTGTACAGTGAAAGAAATCAGAACACATTTTTTTTCAGGTGTAATTTAAAAGTCAAAATATATGCCATACTGGTATTGTAAGTGCATTGAAAATACAGTTTGGAAATCTGTGTTGTCGGTGCAAGACATACAGTCCTAGTTCAAGTGGTATTAACAAGGAAGGCATATATAAATCTGTCATAGTTTATTTATAAAGGCTGGCTAATTTTGGCAATAAAACTCAGCCAATCTCTTTGATTTCAAAATATAATTTTTTTTGTTGTTTTTTTTAGGGTCCCACTGGTATTCCTGGAAACCCAGGTCCGCGGGGACCAAAGGTGTAGAACAATTTTTATGTTTCCTGTTTCTGAAAATATGGGATAATGGGCTAGTTTACGTTTCCAGAGATGTGGTAACTGAAACGCTTGCATCCTTCTCAGGGAGAAAGAGGACTACCTGGTGTGCAAGGAGCCCCTGGGGAGATGGGACCTCCTGGAGTAGGCATTCAGGGATCACCAGTAAGTACGCTAACACCCAGAATTTGGGCTTCTCACTGGGCATCAAACTACGGCAAGTAAAGGAGGAATAATGAGCAATCATGGCATGAACCGTCTTCTGACTGCTGATTCCCAGCGTAGCATCTTTTCCCTTTATCCAGACCCACAAAGAACTGTAGTGCTCACTTACAAATGGACATCTGGAGAACTGAACAAGTCAATGGCTACGTTGCTGACAGGTTTAATGCTAATGGTGTTGCGGTATCTTTAGACTAACTGTTCTGTTTCTGAGCAACAGCTGTTTGCAGTTGTCAGCCGAATCCATCCTGAGTATTGGTACAAGAGAAGAGGAATAGTCTACATTGTAGATGACGGCATTTTGAAACACATGCTGCTACTGGAAAAGGCAAAAACGTGTGTTTTGCCTTCAGATGTGGAAGGCTTTGGGACTGCTCTAAACTTTTACATTTGTGATGACTGCTAATTACAAGCTGATGTGTACTGCTTATAAACACGAATCTTACATTGTCAAGGTACCGCAACAGGAAAGAGCAAAGTCTTGATTGTCTTTAAACTGCATTTCTATGCAGTTTAAAATCAAACATGAAACAGGTTGATGCAGTGCACATAGAGCATTCAGACTAAATACCTATTACACAGCAATAACTGTTTTACAGTTCCCTGTTGACCAGGAAACGTTTTAGTTACCCAGGTTTCTGCCTTACTAGTGTCTTTAAATCCATCTCCAGTGTCTTCATTGTGTTCAGTAAAATATAGATGGTAGGTGGTATCTGTTACTGTCATGAGTTCTGCTGTGGTCAGCAGGGCAATATCTTCAATCCAGACCAACATACTCAGCTGATACATTTCCATTTAGTGGCAGGACTAACATGCAGAGAGAAAATGTTTGAGATAGTTGACTAGAGATTCACATTTGAGTCTTAATCTCAGCTAATAATCCTCGAAAATAAGGTATTCCCTTAAAATATTTTCAATAATGAATTAAAAAATCAGCCTGTTTGTCTTTAAATTGTCTAATTTGTTTTTACTCTATTGAATGTCGGTTTTTCCAGTGAATCACCTAGCTAAATAGCATATTTGACCATAGATCATTCTATGTCATTCCTTGCCATTAAAAATGGCCCTCAGCAAAATGTCTCATATTGAACTCTCCTATTTTGGTGAAATGACATCTGGATTTGAAGCCAAACCTTAGAGCACGTCTTTCGTACAATGTGAACTGAACCAGTGTGTCACATTCACTATTTTTTGATCAAGTTCATCTCCTTTATCCCAAAAAGCATGACTACTGTACTGTGATTATTTGGGATTTTCTTGCAGGGTCCTATGGGTCCAGCTGGGTCAGCAGGTGTCCAGGTAGGGTGCAAGTATTCTAATTAATATAAAAAAACTTAATTTAAGTTTTAAGAAGTTTACAGTAGAAGAAAAAGTTCTTTAAATCCTAAATAACTTCTCCTGATCTCAGGGCCCTAGAGGACCCCCAGGGTTACCAGGAACTCCAGGTACCCCAGGTATTAATGTAAGTAACAGTTCTGTATATATACCACAAAAAGTAACATGACCGTTATCAGTGATATAGGAGCACTGAATTGAATTTTAAATTTCTAGGGCACTCCAGGACGAGATGGAAAGCCAGGACTGCCAGGCCCTCCAGGTGATCCTGTATGTATACACTGGAAGTTTGCATATTTACTTTGGTACTAATGTTTTAAATTTAAGAGACAAGATAGGTAGCAGGTCTAGGAAGTCTGAATGATTAAGTTAATTAGATTAACTTAACTGAATTATTTATTTTGTTCTTTTTACTAGATCATATTGCAGTGTAAATTAAGCTTACGGTAACATTTGTATGATAAATTCCATGTTTTCAGGTGATGTAATTTGTATATTAGAGTTTCTTCCAACTTTAACTTGAAATAGTGTGTCTCAGTCTCAGGAGTAGTTCTATGTGATACAAATATTCAGGAGCATAGTTTGACTCTTCCTGCGTTACAAGATTGAAGAAGAAAGTTTTGGGATTCTGAAACTAGCTTTCCTCTGCTATACTAGGAATACATTAATTTTTAATGAAATTCTGAAAATAATTAGTCTGTAGTGTGATTAATTCCCTTTAACACTAATGAAAAAAAAATTAAGTAGCTAGGTTTAAAAAAAAACACTAAATGAGTTCTGATCCTTCAACACATTTTTGAGGTTGTTATCTCCTCTTGGGTATTACAGCAATGTTTCTGTATTTAGCAGTGCTATGGCTTTATAGGCTTTGTAAAGTTCAGCGCTGCAAGACCCATAAAATTTACCCATGCTTCAGGCTAAAGTGTGCCTTTAAAGATACCTGAGTGGTTTACATGGGAGTCAGGAGAGACCCATGTGCATATCTGCAAAATCTGCATAACAGCAAGTCTCCAGTCATTATTCCTGCTCCTGCTTTGAATCAGCTGCTCCCACAGCTTCTTCAGAAGTTTCAGAAAGTAACTTTTTGTGTAGAAACCAACGCTTGCAGAGGCTTTTATCACAGCAAATGACATTTTCTGAATTTCCTGAGTAGCTATGGGAGAGTATGCCATCAGCAAAATAAAAATCTGCAGGCAATTGGAAGAAACAAACCAAAACCAGAGCTTAAAAAATATATTGTTAAACTCACTTGTGCTGTTATTTGTTGAACAGGATTTGGTCTTTCCCAAGACATTTTAGCCAAAGGCACAGTTTTAGAAAAGCAGTGAGATACAATGATAGTACTCTATGTGCAAATAACAGATGATTTAAGACATATCATAATAAGGAGAATAAAAATTACAAAAGCTAACTTTTGAACTGTATTATGTCCTTTAACAAAATCTCTATTCCTTGCTAAGGCATGAATTTGGCCTTTTCACTGAGGAATGAGTAGTGTATCTCAGAGGTCTCGATCTGTTTGTCACTTAAACGGACGATTCTTTGCACCTGATCACAGTACATACACCTCAGACACACAGACATGCTTCATCTCTCCTGAGTGAGCTACATCTCAAAGTTTCAGAGATGCAAATCTGGGACAGTGGTTCCCAAACCTGCAGACTGCTGGTAGCCTGTGAAGCAATTGGAAATGCTCCAGAGCCTCTGCAGGAATATATTAAGCAGTAAAATATGTATTTCAAGTATAAAATGTGCTTTCAACTAAACATTTGATAGTACAGGTGCACTGAAGTTGGCGAGTAAGCCTGAGGACTCACAGTAAGGTGTTTATGCAATAAAATAGAGAGCAAAGAGTTAAGGAGCACTACAAAACATCCAAAAGAGATTACATTAAATGTTCAGTACAGCTTTACTAAGCGGGAGGCTAAGGAAGTATTGGCTCTGTGTTAAAGGCCTCTTCCACAGGGAGAGATATTTGGCCTCTGGGCAGTGATACAGAGAGGTTCCGGTTCTTCTATAACCCACATTGCATAGGCCTTGATCTGATATCACCTCTGGGTGCTACCTGGCACCTCTATGATCATAGCACGTAATTACGAATTGTTTTGTAATTGTTTTCAGTTCAAAGTGGCCCAAAACATGTAAAGGCTTAATGCTGTAATTGCTATTACAGGGTGGTGGTGTATGCTGCATGCTGTGGGGCATGACAGGAGAGTGAATGGGACTCTTTGAGGGAATGTAGTATAGACAGTAGCATTGGGAGGCTCTGCGGAGTGCAGCAAAATGCACCTAGTACAGTTGCATCCATACTGTATGTAGGGAGTAGTCCCTGGATAAACCAGCACCAGAATCACGCCAAGATTTCATCTCAGAGGGAATAGTCAGCTTTCACCAAAGGAGAGCCTAGGAACGAACTAGCACGTGTGCGTTGATGATTATCAGGGATCGGGATGATGAAATAAGTTATTTTACAGTGTTGGCACACCCACTGGTTCCTGCATTAACATCAGTCAGTGCAGCAAGTGTTTTCATGTTGTATAATTTAGTCCTGACTATATTATAGGACTGTTTCTCCTATTTAAATCACGGCTGCAGCAATGCCTGAGCATACAGCAGCAAACTTTTCTAGTGCATTAAGAGACACTGTGACAGTATTGGTAGCTCCTCAAAGACCTAAATGCAGTAGGTGAAAGCAGGTCTGTCACTAACATTTAGTATAAAGATAGAACTCAGGTATATAATCATAGATTCAGAAAAATACAGATATAAAATGAGCTTCAAATAGAGATGGATATAAAAACAAGAAAAAGGCCCTGTGGACACAAGTAATTAAAAGACCAGTAGAATATAGGTCTATTATTTAATATTGAGTGAGATCAAATTACAGATTGTGGAGAGAAACCTGAAGAATTCAGTAGGTTTTCATTGTCCACAGGAAAAAAAATTACTTTTCAGAAAATACATAAAATTAATTTTAATTAATTTAATTTAAAAAGGGTTAAAAAGTTTTTACAGCATGAAGGTCAGGTGGATTCACCTACAGAATTCACCAAAGCAGTCTCTGAATTATTAGCAGTTATCTTTGAGTACTTTGAGAAAGGCGAAGCTTTTGAGGGATGGGGAGGCACTCACAAAAGACAAATCTTCATAAAAGGCAAGTAGAAGAGGAAAGAGCATATAATAGGTCAGTTGAAAGTAACTTTGATTGCTAGAAAGATTTGAAATAATTTTTTTAAAATTAGTTTATAAGTACAAATGATATGGATGATATTATGGAGACACAAAAATGTTAACATGGTTTGCTAAGAAATAATCATGGAATAAATCGGATTTCCATCTCTGGCAGGTTAACTTTCTTGGGAGATACAAGGAAGCAGTGATGTTAAGCATCTCGGTTTTAATAAAACCTTGACACTGTCCTGCTGATGTTTTCATAAAGGAGCTAAAAATGCTGTAGAAGTAATTGCTATGCAGTTAGTGCTTATCAAAAAATACACATATGAGTGGCTATCACCAGATTGCTGTTAGACTCAGGGAGAGCGAGAGGACTCTCCCATGCCTCGTTCTTTTTAGTGTTTTAATTTGATTAGGATAATTAAATAGAGATAAAATCTGTAACTGGGCTAGGAAGGACTTCAAGCTTTTTGAAGATAAAATCAAATTTTAAAATTCAGAGACAGTCTGAAATCAGCAGGATGAAACTCAAGACAGATAAGCATAAAGTGCTTAATAAGAAAAACAAATTGCGTAAGTAGAACAGGAGCCGGAAGGCACAGCGCACTGTAGCCTAAATGTGAGCAAAAAGTCTGATGTCGCTGTGAAACAGGCAGACCTCATGCTAAAGCTTGTTAATAGCAATCTCATGGCCTTCTGCTCTCTTGAAACGCACTTCTTTTTGGAGGCAATGTCTTCAAAGAAATATGTAGAAAATAGGAGAGAGTCCAGAAAATTAAGGCCAAAATTAAGGCCATCTTAGCGTTATCAAAAGGCGAGGGTGTATCAGAGTCGAGCGTGTGCAGCAGTGACTCTAGAGCACGTGTGCAGTAAGACAGGACCTGCCGTACGTGCTGGGCAGATTATGGCAGCGAGCAGGGGGCCTGCTCTCATACCGCCCGTGCCCTGGCTGCTGCACATTGGGTCCCTTTCTAGCTGGGGACCGGGGGCCCGTGTCTTAATGTGATGCTGCAGCTTAAACAAGTGCATTAGGAAACAGGAGAGACTGAAGGAATTAGGCATTGTCCTCTAGAAAAAAAGTGCAAGAGGGGAGGCGATAAGAGCCTGCCTGTTGGTGAAATGTTGTTACAAGGAGGAGCACAAAAAATCAGGCCATGTAGGGATGTGGTTTTTCTTCTTAAGGCTTATTGGAGGTTTTTAAAAGCAGGTTACACGGTCTGTATTTAGTTTACCTTTGTGCAAGGGATGAACTTCACGCCTTACACATGGATGTTTTTAAATTGTGTGAAGTGGCAATATCCTACTCCAGAAAAATTCTCAGCCTGCTTTTCAAAGGTTGTGAAGCTACATTGTAAATGGTGTGTTCCTGGTTACACTTGCAGTTTGCTATGTTCAGCAGTGGCTCTCTTGATCTGGTATTTGACACCCATTGCTACCAACAGGCAGTTTTTCTAATATGCTAAAAAAAGGCTTAAATTTTATTTTTCTTTTTAAAGATGGCAGTGGTTGAAACAGGTTGAATAACAACAATGAAAAAAGTATTGAATGCATCTAATTATGCTCAGGACTAGATCTTTGTTTTAGCAGTTGCAAGACTTATTTCTTGATTTAAAGAATGAGCACTGGTAACTGAAGCATCTGTTTGTGAATGAAGCTGATGATACCAGTTCAGTAAGATTTTACAGGCAATCTTTAAACATAAGATTAACAACAACACTTGGCAATCTGAGGATGCAGCTATATTGCAGTATAGTGCAAAGTTATCGATTAAGCTGTAATTGGGTAGCTTTGGCCTTGGTAGCAATTTAGCTGTGGCTCTGCGGCACCACATAGTTTTGCACTAATTCTTAATGTTTAAAATCAGGAGAAAATGCTATATTTGGTACTCATGTTGCTGTAGCTGGATTATTTCCAGTGTCTCAGCTAGTTTATTAAAGTTATTTTTGATATCTCTGCCCTTCATGCTACAGTTCGCTATATAGCCAAAGCCTCGGAGAAAAAAGAGGGAAAACATTGAAGATAATCAGACAGTGAGAGTTGCCTCTGAGAATTTCCAACAATGTTGAGGTGTTATTGGCTTACTACAAACACAGCACACTTTTTCATATTTAAAAATGTTTCATAGTGGAATTTAACATTTAAAACCATGTTTGAATCCTTAATTTTTCTTAGTAAAAGTTTTCATAGTAAAATAACTTCAGCCAAAATATATGAAATCAAACTATGTGTGCAACTACATAAACTTTTGAGTACCTATCAGAATTAATGAAGTGTAAAATATTATTCGTGTAAAATGTTAATGGTAGCTGCCTTTTTTAATTTTAGATTGCACTGCCACTTGTGGGAGACATGGGTACTATACTGAAGGTAAAAATTTTCTCTGGTTAAATATCTGTTTGTCATGAGCATTAAACCAAAACGTGCACTTGCAAGTTTCTGCAGGTTAGGTTATGTCCTATTTGGCCTATCCTAAAATCATTTTGAGATTTTTGTTAATTTTCATTTTATTTTTAAAAAATATTGAATTAGAGTGTATGATTGGAATTTTAGAAAATAGTGTTTGAATGTTGTGGGAGCTAGTTACCAACATGTACCTGTTCAGTGCATCCAGTGCACATACGAATTGCTACGACCATTCTCTGCTTTGTGCTCTAGCATGTGATATTGGTAATGTAACAAACAGAGAAAATAATCTAGAATTCTATGTCATTGTCTTGAAAAATAGTACTTGATGCGATCTGCAGTATTCCAAAGAGGATTTTTATATGAAAAGCACACATCATTTCTGAGGAGAGAGACTATTCTATTGTCTTGTCTTTTATTAATATATATGCTTATGGTTTATTGACTTATTCATTCCCAAATTCTATTTCTTTTAGTTCTTTCTCAGGGGTTTTCTCTTATTGTTTCTGTCTAGAATTTTATTTTATTTTTCCTGTGCATGCCCTTCTTCCTCTTTGTCATCTCTCCATGTTATTGATTCTTCATGCTTCAGTCTCCATATCTGTCAATTTTGTGGTTAGCACTTCTATAAGATTAGAATTTAGCTGGAAAATGCTTCTCCAACAAAGCAGGAATTATTTAATTTAAGGTAACTGCAGTTGTGAAGCAGATGAGCGTAACAAGTAGCCTTCAACTCTGCCTCATCCATAAAAAGAGGATGGTGTGCTCAAACCTAAACGCAGATTGTTGAGACTATCCAAAATAAAGGCATTTGGGAGTCCTCTCAAGAATGGAACTGGCTAGGCTGAAAACCTTCTATTAGTATGGGTTGAGTGTGGGAAGAGCACGTGAGAGGTGGGGAGAGAGACAAGGAAGGAATACTGAATGAATATTTCGTGTAGCAATGAGAAAAGTCTGAGAAGAAGGCTTTTGGGTAAATGTGCTAATGGAAGCTGCGAATGAGGAAATTTTGCTCATGTGAACAATCTTCTGTACATTAGTGTGGTCTCTACCGACATTTTCACCAGTATTTCCTTTTAACTTGAATAATCTTCAAACCCTGAACTTTCCCTAGGTCAAAAAGGAGACTGTGGCTGCTTTGAAGTTGTAAAAATGAAAGTAGAACAACTCATTTTCACGTTTTGAGAATGCTGTGCTATCTCTTTTTAAAAGAAATAGTGCCACTATCTCATAAAAGAGATTAAGCCTGGAAAGATGAAGATAAGCAGTAATAAGAAATTAATTATGTTATCTTACTATAAACTTGATTTCATTTTACTGCAACTCCATGGTCTCAGAGAGTTAAAAAAATAATTTAGCCCAAATCCTACATTTGGACATATTTCTAACAAGACTATGTGGCCAGACTTACATCTGCTTCACTTTATTTGCAAATTTGTTTTAATGGCATGCACTGTGCTCTCTCTTCCTTACTTACTTTTTACAAATTTTCATAGAAAAAAATAGCATTTTAATTATTGAAACTCAACATAGCTTATTGTCATAATTTATTTAATATCTCTTTGTTAATTAGCAACACTTTATGTATTTCTAATGGAATGTTTGTAAAAATGGTAAGGTTAGTGTTTCTAAAGCATTAAGTATGAAAATGGAGTGGGAGGCTCATCTAGTAGTGATGGTCGCAAAGGCAGGAGGGGAAAGCAGTGGTTACGACTTGCCATAGATTGGATCTTCCACCTTTGTCACAGAAATGGTTATTTATTACTTTAGTTTGTGTCTGTTCCTCAGGGTGATCCTGGCATAAGAGGTCCTCCAGGCATCCCTGGTAGAGAAGGGCCAAAGGTAAGTTCCTGAAGAGACTACTTTAGCTTGCTTTATTCCATGTTAAAAACAAAAGGCCAGACTCTTATGTCTGTCAGTCTCAAGGTTTTGTCTGTAGCATCTGAGCATCTTAAAGTTTTAAACAGCTTTTAAAGTTCAGCCCTTCTTGCCTGAGTTAGTATGCCTTTCTTCTCAGGAGAGTGAACTAATTAGCCCCAGCTGAGTACCAAGCCAGTAGAGCTTTTGTCCCGTTTCATTTAAAGCTAGCTCAGATTTAATTGTCCAATAGTGCATTGTCATCTGTAGGCTTATTTTAAGTGAGTCGGTCATGCAAGAAAGCTGTGGTGAAGGCAGCCTCCCATATCTCGGTCAAGTATGTAATATTTGGACTGTTCTGTGCATTTGCAAGTTGCTCCTCACAGGAGTAACTCCTCATGTCCACTGGAACGTGAAGTTGTATTGAGGTCCGTCAAAATTCTGCTTTACTATTATCTGATCAAATACCACCTGATTTGGCATATCAGTCTCATAGAGTTGTACCTAATTACTTAAAAGTATGCTTTCTTCATTTAAGCAAGAGCTAGAGCTCGTTGGAATTCATGAGGTGAAACTGTATCTCCATCTGTCTTTTTGGCTAGTTTACCTATGAGATAAACAAGTTTCATTTCCACTCACCTCAACGGGGAGGCACATTTTAAAAGTTTCAGGGCAGGATTTTTTTTCTGTTTTAGGTTTTCTCACTGTTGCTTTAAGGGCTTCATGCTGGCATATATTAAGTGTGTACTGTAAAACTCTCTACAGAGTATGAGATTTGTTGTACTACTAATATAAATTATTTGTTTGAATGTTATATTTTCATAGGGAAGCAAAGGTGAGCGTGGATTTCCTGGGCTTCCTGGAGAGAAAGGTGATGAGGTAAAATTATTTCTATTAGCTTGAATAAAGATCTAGACTGAGAATTAAATGCATAGAATATTATTCCCGTCTTTACAACTGCTGAAATATTCCTATATTGCTATGAATAGCCCTTGATTCTGAATTTTCAAGAAGGCTAAATGCAGTTATTTAATTAAAAAGCTATTTCATCTTTGCATGAGCTTTTTTGCTCATTTATATATTTCAAAGCCTCAGAGACATTTAAATGACAATTTTTAAGAGCACAGGATAGAGCAAGAAATGGGTAAATGCAAAATATTTTCAGAAAATATTTATTCATGTTTTGTAACAAGTTTGTTTTCATTGCGTTAGTTCCCCTTTAGTATTCACTTTCAAAAATATTGAGGCAAATACTCACATGGGAACAATCACAGCACCAATTAGTGAATATTGGAAAATATTTATTTGAAGAGACTAAATTTGAAATAAGTACAGCATTTTGCATCGTATAGCAGATTCTTAGGAGTTATTTTTATTTCATTAAGGATGAGCAAAAAAGTCACATAACTTGCAATGCCCCATCCCAAATACCTATGATAGCTTTCATTTTAAATTGAAGTATTATTGAGCAAATAAATCTGAATAAATAAATGAATTTCTCAGTGACCTTTGCCACCTGAAGGAGTAAAAATAAGTAATCTGTTAAAAATTGTTGAGCTCTCTGAAAAGCCAAAATACCCAACTGATACCTGATAAATAGATAGTATTCTCTTGTAATTTGAAGTGCTGGCTAGAAGAGAAAACCTCTTGAAAATAGGAAAGGAATTCTGAGCTTATTGACTGCAGGAGAGGAGAAGAAGAGGTTAAATTCTTTTTGTGGGTTCTGCATTTCTTTAGAGCTAAGGTTGTAATGTAGTAAGAGAGAGTTTTCAAACAGTAGTAGAAGGAGAATAATTTTCAAAAAGTATGGACTTTTTGAAGTCCATCAGTTCATCAGGATCCTGGCTTTAAAAAATAAACAGTTACATGAGAATAAAAAAGAAGCAGCAGAAACATTAAATATAAATCTGTATTGCTGCTTTACTCTAGAATACAGCAGGTTGCCAGACTAGAAATAAAGTATCTCCAGCTTTTTTTCCTCTTGCATTTAAACAATTTATGGAGCTTAGTGGGTCTTTACTTCTTAAAAGTGAAATACCTCCTGAGTTTGGATTTAGAACACATGCCTTGAAATAATACTCCAGCCATAAATGAAGCGCAAGTAGAATTTTATTTAAAAAATAAATGAGCTGTAATGGGAGAGTAATACATCCTTCCTTTTTGTGCCCTGTGGAGTAGCTCTACAATTCAGTCCAGCAGTCTCAGGCACTAATGAGCAAGTTTAAATGATTCTGACACTATTTAACTGTTGAGAATCAAGAGAGATATTAGAGGCAATTAAGAAGGTAATAAGAAAAAGGAGAGGTTATAATTGACAATTATTTTTTTAAAGGGACTCCAGAGTAAATTCATTCTAAAAAAAATTTATTGATTCAGCAGGGTGCTGTGCTCCTTCAGTCAGTAAATTTGCTATTCCCTGCTTCTTCACTGTTTGATGGCTGATTAGGCACCTCAGGACTGCTTTGTTTTAGCAACAGCATTTGATTGCTACACTATGAGAGGCCATGTTAACTTGCTTTCCGACACATACGAGGACATATAAGCACGTATGATAGAGCTGTTATTCAGTTAATGGATCTCCATTTCCTTTGATCTGTATGATTTGGTTAGCATCCAAATGGGGGGAGCATTTCAGAACCTTCCTTGAAATGAATGGAAGTGCTCTCATACACTTCACTGTGCTTTCAGATAGACCTTTAATCTTTGTTTGAAGCTTCTTTCTGTAACGTAATAAATAGAGATATAAATCATAGACATATAAACTGTATTCATCAGGTGAAACATCATGATAAAAGCTCCAAATGAAATCTTGTCCCCATTTAATGTTGTGGTAAGCTAATATTGTCTACAGTAAAAAAAAAAAAAAAAAAAGTGCCTTACTCACTTCTTTAACACAGGATTGTTGACTTTCCTCTCTCCTCTCGAGAGGAAGGTCAGTTACCCTAATTTAATTCTTTAAAGTCAATCTCTTTATTTAAGGCGTCTTAAATCTTACTATGACTTATGATAAAAAATTCAGTAATTGTTTTGTTAGAATGCATTTCCTTGTTAAAGGATGCCTTTTTAGGGGTGGAGGATGGTTCTTATATTCATAATAAGAACTATAGCCAATGTTCTTTGGCTTTCACATTCATATTGTGGATGAAAGTGTTGTAAGAGTAAGTTAATTTAAAATGGGCAAAGAACACATTATCTGTTGGAATACCACTCTGAAAAGCTGCAGAAGTAGATCAATGTCCTCTGTGTGTAGGATGAAGAATTAGGAAATCACTCTCCCTCCACACGTTCCTACTCTATTTCCATCTGAAGTTTTTCCTTCAGACTTTCCCTCAGAGCCCTTCTTTTATGGCCCTTGACCTCTTTGGTTTTCTTTACTATGTGCTTAGCAATGTCTTTTTAAATCCTATATTTGGCATGAGACATATATTTTACCTGAGATTATTGCTCTTGTCAGAGGATTGGTGCCCAATGCAGACAGTAGGAATCACTATTGGGATGGGCATCCTTCCCTTCATGGGTTATAAAGGGTATTTAGAATAATAACCTTAAACATACACATTTAGCTTTTACCTGCCTAAAATTCCATCAGAGTAAGTCGGTATAATGAGGCAGAAGAAAGAATTCAGTGATATGCAGACTTGCCTCAAATCCTACCTTAATTCTCTGTAAGTTGCATGCCTGTATGTCTAGTAAAGGGATACCAGAATCCATCAGTTTACAGGGAGTAGAATAGGATAAAAGGAGGATAGTAGGTCATTAAATGCCATGAAATGTGTCATAATTTGTTACCAAAAGCCAAAATCTATATCCAGAAGAAAGCACTATCTTATTTAAGTAGTATCATGTAACATTCAGAAACCTGAGTAGATGCCTTTTATCAAACTTTCTAGGGACGGAATAAAGAAAGTTAGTCTCTGAAGAAAGAGACATCCAGCTCTTATCTGCACGGCTAAATATGAGGAGATATAAAGAACATAAGCTGTCAGTGGAAAAGATTGGAGGAGGATTGGATTGGAGGACTGGAGATTTTGTTTACCAGTTAAACAAGAATTGCCTGTTACCATGTTTAGTGATAATCTCTCACAGTAGTAAAAGCAATTTTAAGGTATGAGTATATGTGGGAGAAGAAATCTACATATGCTGTTTTAATTTTCAGGGCCTTCAAGGTGTTCCTGGACTGCCTGGGGTACCAGGACCCAGTGGACCTTCTGTAAGTGCTTGATGTCATCTGTGATCTAATCTGTCCCTGTAGAGGTTGCTATAACTATCTTAAAAAAACTTCACATTCTTAGTTTCTTATCTCGAGTCTTAAAAGAGCCAGACTCTGCCTTCTTTCGGCTTTTGAAAGAGTAATAAGATTTGACACACAGTGGCTCTAATAAAACAAAGTATGTTGTGAGTTGAGGTTACTGAAAATACTGTCATTGTCTGGACTCTTAGAGCTTGTAGAACTTACATGCGTTCAGTGTTTCAATATTACTAGAGACTCTGTGAGGTAAAATTACCTAGGATGTGCAAACTTGCAGGTAATTATGTATTTGTACCCAAGTTACTCTAATAATGTTAGTAATAAAAATCTAATAATGATTCTAACTGGTTATTCTGAAAACATTAAATGCTGAAACCAAGTAATTATGAAGCATGAGAATAAATTGACTTAATATTAAAAGCCACTGAAAAATACGGCTAAGGTAAACATGAAAAATGTTAGTCTTTCTAAGAAAATTTCCTTAGGAAATTTTTTAGATTTAATTTCCTGTATATAAGATGCAGATAACATTAGTTAGTATGGTCATTATTCATTCCTAGGTTGCTTACAGTACTAATGCTAGCTTTCTTTCAAAAATTGTAACATATCTAGGAAGCATACTGTTTAATATGCATATTGCTTTTTTAGCAGTAAAGCGTGATTCTTAGCAGTATCAAGAGGTGCTAGTTAAGGTCAGTCCATTTAGTCTGCCAAGGTGAAAATGCAACCACAAAGACAAGTTTTACCCTTCATAGGGCTTATCAGTAGGATGCAGCTGTGGTATCAGTCAGAACAGAAATATTTGAACCTGCAGGAGAAACTTAGTTAGGTTTAAATGACCTTCAAAAAGTTCAAGTTTTAAACATTAAACTGAAATGCGAAATATTGTGTTTCATCATTTTTTAACTAACAATCAATACTGTTTTGTGCAGGGCGTCACAGGAAGACCTGGACATCCTGGTCCGGCAGGGTCAAAAGGCGAAAAGGTATGCCTTCTTTTTAGCCTTGGTAAAGATCTGTGAAGGTTTCTTAATCCTGTTACTTTCCTATGTTCCGGAGATTCTTTAAGCATACAGTGCAAGCAAGAACTTGACGTATAATACCTTACCAAATGAATATTTTAGTTGATTTATTTACGTCTTAATACAAGTACTTTCCCCAAAGACTGCCATGCCTGTGGGCTTTTGCTCTGAAGAGCCTTGGTGTGTGTAAGATGCAGAGAACATTCTCTAAGTATGATGTATTACATAAAATTATAAAAGTGCAAATGCCTCTGTGAAATACTATATGATCACTAACTAATGTTCTCATTCTTTTTCCAATATTTTAGACCAAAGTAAGTTCATACCTTAAAAGTGCTTTACAAGTACTGAAAGCTGTTTAGTATATTTTATTCTGCAAAAATATAGAAGCTTCCTTTATACTTAATTTGCACTGTTTTAGCACTGTTTTTTATCAATGTTTTATGTGTTCTTTTATCAGGCACTTGAGAGTACCCATTATAACTAACAGGTCAAATTCATTTCTGGACACCTCAGATCAGTGAAATACAGCAGACCTAGACTTAGTTTACTGCAAAATACGTTCTGGGACAATGCTCCATTTTGCTCATAAATACACATTTCTGAAGCTTTTGTCAGCTTTAGCCTAGAGTTTTCCAGGCATGTTGCTGCCATATCAGAATCTGTGGTCCTCCTAGTACTCTACAAAACTTTAACTGGTATGTGTAAGAAAAGAAAACTCTTCATTTTGGGAAGCTATGGAATTATTTCAATATAAAAATTAATTGAAAACTTCCAAATTGTACTAGCAAAAATCTGTCGTACTCATTTCCTTTCCAAGTATCTACATGCAAAAAACAAGTCTTTGCTAGTGCCATGTTTACAATTACAAATTACAAATTAAAAAATCTGAGAATGCAGTCTTAAATCAGCCACTGACCATATGTACATTTCTGTCCCTGTGTTTTTCGCTGAGGCCTAATTGTAATTAGGCCTCTTTGCCTTATGCCTCATAAAGATGAGGGGAAGGCAGCCTCTTGCTATCATATGTGGGAATGAGAAAGCCGGCTCTCCACAATTACTGACCTGCAGATCAAAAAGGCAGAAGTCCAGCCAGTGAAGAGTGATGAAGGAGCTTGAAATATAGCCAGAATACTTTCCTCTTCCTTCCTTTATCTTGGTACCTCATTTGAGAAGCAATCCTGTAATATGCTTTCTAAAGTATAGTATTTTATCTCCTCATGAAGTACCACAAATCCTAGTTTGCCGGTTGACAGCTCTTAGCACTTAGCAGGCCTATTTGGAAATATATTTTCAGTGACATGGTCCAGAAAGGTAGAATTAATTTCTGAAATGCATTTTCTAATATAATTGTAAAAAATGTGCTGTGAGTATAAAGACTGTATATTTCTGGTGGGTTAATGGTTGCTGTTGGACCTTTAACTTGACTTTTTACCACCATAATAATTTTAAATAGGCAGCCTGATTGTTTCACTAACATGTAATTAATAAGAAGACCTAATGACTGAGTGAAATACTATGACACACTTATTCCAAAATTTTACAGTATTTTTAACTGAATCTTAGTGATGACATTTTGAAAATAACTTGTTCCTAGGGAAAACTTAACATTTAAACCTTTGCAACACTTTACCCTTCAGAGAGCCCACCATTCTGCTGCGGCAAAAACTCAGAAATATTTTTTTTTAATGTAACCAATTCAGTCTGTGTCAACAGAATAGACTGCAGCTACAAGTACCCACAGATGAGTATTTTGCAGCTAAAAAAAAAAAGAAAAAAAGATATTCATTGTACATCTTAATAAAAAAGATCCTTTATTTTACTCAATACATTTCAGTGGAAAGAGTTTCTTGATAAACTGAATTTCTGAAACTGTGGTTCTTTATTTAGCTGTAAATAAACAAACCAAAAATTGGCTTTAGCAAAACAGTATACAAAACATAAAAGTGAATGTTAACTTTTATCTGCCAATTGCACATAAATTGATATCAAAACCCTTTTTTTAATTCCTCTGCCTCTTGGTAAATATGAAGTATATACTGTATTCTAGAACTAAAATCATCTCAGGTTACCAGTATTATTTTGTTATAAGGAAGTTACTGTACATAAGGCATCACAGAACTAGCAAAATAAAAGCTAGTCTAGAATAATTACGAACAACTTGCCTTAAGATTAAGCAGGAGCTGGGCAGAATAATTCATTCTTGATCTTATCTGTTCATATTGACAGTATTTCTTGATTATTAGTTGTTGTGGTCATTATAGTTTGGCTGTGGGGTAGATCTGAACGTCAATTTCTGTAAATGAGTTGTATGAATCTCTTGCTATACCAGGGTAGCGAAGGTTCTCCTGGGAAGCCTGGACCACCTGGGCCTCCGGTAAGTCATTTTGTTTTATAATATGAATGCTATATTAGAAACCATGTACCTATGAGTAAAATGCAAATGTTTAAAAAGTGCATTATTTTGAGTCTTTGTATCAAAGGCTGGCTATCTGTCTAATACATATTAATAGTGCAATAGTGTGGGATGCAAACAATGTCTCTCTGCAGAAAGTTTCTGTATTCCTTTTTTTTTTTTTTGATTCATCACTGAGGAAGTCCAGGTCACTAAAGCCATCCCAGAAACTTGGTTCAATCTGTTACTCTAATACCCTTGGATACTACTGTTAATTTAGATGCCTCAGATACCTGAGATGAGGGATCTCTGTAGGCATGTAACTAAGGAAAGTCCAGGGAGTTCAGTGGACTCCAGAATTAACTGGAATCATACCTAACACAAAATTAATTCCAAACTGAAGAGCCTTATGATCTCTAACCCTAATGGCATCCTTTGAAGTGCCGTCTCTAACCATAAGCCAGAGAGCTCCTCTGACTCCAGTCTTAGTCCAGAGAGAGCTGCGGGTCTAAAATCTAACCATAGCTCTAAGATCTCTTAATAACAGAGGACTGAGTGTTTTTTCAAACCTTGCCTAACAGTTCTGTAAATTCAATCTGAATTCAGTCTATATCCCTACCCCAGGAAATTGTCTACAGCAACAGCTGATTTTGAATGAGGATGTAATAAAAATCTCAGAAATGTGATTTAAGGATCGCAGTGAGAGGGACACTATAATACCAGGGTAAAAATTACATACCAGTGACAGAATAACTGATGCTGTCTGTTAAAGAAAATCTAAGGTCAAGTTAAATCTAAAAGTTAATACAGAATCCCTATAAATTGAATTTCTATGCCCAAAAAAGAGGAGGAGGAGTGATACTGTCATCTAACTAGGATGTTAGCAGAGACTGGGACCTATTAAAGGACATTAGAGAGTGTAGGAAGGCAGAAACAGCATAAAACTGAAGACTTCAGATGCTGTCATGTAAAATGGATAAGTATCATGATGGGTTTTGATATAGAGGTTACATTTTAGGTACAATGAATGTGATGCCCCTGTGAGCTGTTAGTCATAAGAGAAGCAACTCAAAATTTTACCAGAGCAGTGCATAGGATCTCCTTTAAAATGTTACTGGGGAAGAGGTACTCCATAACAGTAAGATATGCACTGCAGCTAGGCATTTTGGAAAAAAAAGGCAAAACAATGCACTCTGATAGCAATTATCATAAAAAGGAGTTACTGAGAAATGGGAAAGCATACTGAGAAGAAAGGTCAAAATTACTTCAGATATTGTTTAAAGATATAACATTATTTAAAGATATAATATCAGATGCTGAAAGAAAATGCGTGCTACCCGTTGGAAAAGATTTTAAAGAACTAAAACATTTTGCATTGGGTAAACAGTAGAGCAAACAATGTTGTTAGAAATGAAAAGATACACATCAAAAACTAGAATTCATGTCCAAGTAACAAAAATATAAATCTATGGACAGTTCAACAGAAACATAAAAGAGAAATCTATGGAAAGTTCAGTGTAAAATTGTTATAAGGCAGACCAAAAATAATTGAGAAATGACTTGCTAAAGGCATAAAAGCTAGTAGGAGAAACATTTTCATAAACAGCAAAGGTGAGATGCTTGCCAGAAAGTCTCCAGGGTCAGTAAATGCTCGATGTATAACAGAACAATCAAAAAAAGACAAAAACATACCCAAGAAGCTAAATAAATTATGTACATTTGTGTTCACTATAAAGAAGATCCCTATTCAAAGAATTAGTCAGAGGAGTTGTTTCAAACTGATGTGTCAGCAGAAGGGGCTTTTGAACAGATTGCTAAAAGATTTATAAGAAATAGCTAAGATGAGATGAAATTCATCAAAGAGTTTAAAGTAACTCAAATGTGAGTTTAAATTGGTCATCATAGCGGAGGAACAGGAAATAGCAAATATGATGCCAGTTATTAAGAAGGGCTCAACTGGGAATCCAGGCAAATACAGACTTGTGGACTTGACTTTTAGCAAATCATTGGAAAACAGAATAAAGAATAAAGTTAAATGACATGTTATAATGATAATAAAACATAGTGGGGAAAGCCTTGTGTCTCAGAAATCTGTTAGACGTCTTTTAAAGAGCTAATGAATATGTGAAGAAGAAAATCCATTAGATGTGTTTCCCTTTTCTGCCTCTAACCCACTATACTACCAGAGCTGTGACTGTTTCTGCATCCCTCAGGATTTATCCATGAAAAAAATAAGAGTAAAAATAAAGTAAAACTTAGTTTATTAATTGCATTATTTTATTATGTGAGATGAGAGTTGAAATCTTAAATGTTTTCAGAACCTCTGGCAAGTTCCCTTGCTGCTGAGAGCTTATTGCAGTATTTTGAGTTGAAAAAGGTGCCTGTAGCTTTGGTTTTCATTTTAGTCATTGCTACATGTGTGTTTTATAGATGTTCACACAGGAAGAATGACTATTTACTAACATATTTACTACATATTTACTAATTCTACTTTGAATATTAACTGGCTAGAATCTGAAAAAAATGTGGATAGCTTTTCAGAACAAGAATTTCACCCATTCATAAATTGAGTGTGTTTAATAATTTGATCTTTTTGTACTTTGGAAGTCATCAGACCTAACAGAAATTGGCAATTCAGCCACTGAACTTCATGACTGAATCAACGATTTTATGAATGAATCAGTTTTATTCTGAATTCTTTACTATATCATCAGTCAAACTTGAGCATTAATGTAGAATTACAGTTCAAGCCTTACTATTCCCAAATCACTTGAAGCTTAAGTTTAGATGCTTTCCATTTTTCCATTTAGCATAAATCTTCAAAAGCACCTTCCTTGTTTGTATCATTTGACCAATCACTTATAGAGATCATATAAGAATGTCAGAATGGATTGTACATTAATGATTTACAAGTTTGTGGTTTTATAATTTAAAAAATCCCAAGCTGCATTGGTATATATCTTACATTCTTACTGAAATGTTTAGAATGCTTGCAAAATTGTCTAGAACAAAAATGATACTGCAGCTGTGCTGAGACTTAGATAAGTCAGGAGTTCCACCTTTTTAATTCATAGCTGTGATACTTGGTTTCTATATTTTAAAGGGTATGCCTCACAATGAAAGAAATGGAATGAGCAGCTTATATAAACTCCAGGTATTTCTCTTCGTTAATTTTTTTTCCCATAAGCATTTAATTTTGGCTCAACTCAGCTTTTAAACTTGCTGTTGCAGGGAGGCGTGAGTGTCGCTAGTTATCCGGGTCCACCAGGACCTCCGGTAAGTGTTTCGTAGAAATGCAATTTGTAGTAGTTAACTAAAATATTAACAGAAGGATTGATTAATTGCTTGTAGTTTTCATGAATGGTGTTGTATTTGATTTTATATGTGACAGAAAGCAAAGATATAAGATATGACTGATGTGTAGTAAATAGTAAAGGATGTATTTTTCTGTGTTTATCAAGCATTTTAGCCTGTTCTGGGAGAATGGCTTATTTTAAGTATTTCACCCCAAAGCTGTGCTGACTAGTAAGTCTGCGAAAGTGGTGCACAATTTGACAGTGGACTGTTTATTGAAAGTATCTTAAAATATATAATATACTCTATATAGTTAGTGATGGTATAGTTTAGTAATGGATTATACTTCGTGCTGCAATGAGAAACTCATAAATTCTGATCTCAGTTCTGTCACTGATTCACTGCAGGTAGCTACAGCGCAGAACAATGTGTAAAACACAGTGTAATATAGAGCTGGTGTCTTTCCAGGCAGCACACTATGCAATGTAGATACACCAGCATGCAGCTGTACGCTCTGTTGCAGTGTTTCTGTGGGGCTGAAGATACTGTGCACTTATTTAGGTCCTGCTTCTTGTTAGAGTCATAGGCGAGTTCTACTATTTCATTGTTTTGGCATCCATTTCAATATATTGTAGCTAACAGTGAGGATTTTGTGCTTACTTGATATGCAGCTTTTAGTTACAGACTCGGACCAAATCGCAGAACTGCCTTTCTCTGTATTTTGGAAGATCGAAAGGAGATATAAATAAAATTTTACACAGAATTAACTAGCTGAGAGAGCTGGAAATGTTGACTCTAAATGCAGGGCATTACCAATGTATATTTGTAGTACACTAATACAGAAAAATACCGTGTTATTATGTAACGCTGTTCTTTTTTTAATGCATTTCTGCTCCTTATGTTCTTTGCAGGGTCCAAAAGGAGATCCTGGTGCAGTGGTATGTATTTTTTTGTCATTCTAGAGGTTCCCCCAAAAGTTCAGTACTTGATCCTACTGACAAGTGAGGGCTGCAAAGATGATTAGGGGACTGGAGCATCTCTCCTATGAAGAAAGGCTGAGAGAGCTGGGCCTGTTTAGCCTGCAGAAGAGAAAGCTGGGAGGTGATCTCATCAGTGTGTACAAGTATCTGAAAGGAGGCTGTCAAGAGGATGAGGCCAGTCTCTTCTCTGTGGTGCCCAGTGACAGGAAAAGAGGCATCAGGCACAAACTGAAACACAGGCAGTTCCATCTGAACATAAGGAAAAACTTCTTTCCTGTGAGGGTGACAGAGCACTGGCACAGGTTGCCCAGAGAGGCTGTGGAGTCTCCTTCCCTGGAGATATTCAAAACCTGCCTGGACGCGATCCTGTGCAATGTGCTGTAGATGAGCCTGCTTGAGCAGGGGGGTTGGACTAGATGATCTCCAGAGGTCCCTTCCAACCTCTACCATTCTGTGATTCTGTGACAAGAGTGGAAGAATATTAATGTTTTTAGCAGATATCTTGCTTCTGCAGAATCAGTACCTCTGAAAAAGCCATTTTTGCTGACAGGCTTGAGAAATTTGCAACTTCTGGTAAATAGTTCTGCAGTGATAATATACTGAATGATTGAACATAGTATTAACTATGTGTGGATTCATCTCTGCTGAGCTGTCCCTTGAGATATTTAGGAATGAATAAAGTGTACTGCAAGAGATAAAAACCTTACTTGGTACAGCCCTATAGATAATAAAGACGCAAGTCCCTTGAGATATTTAGGAATGAATAAACCTTACTTGGTACAGCCCTGTAGATAATAAAGACGCAAAATGCTTTAAGACCTATTGGAATGCACTCAAAATTAAATTTGAAATTGCTAAAGAGATGGTGTGCTATGTCATACTAGCAAGTAGCAACCAGAAGTCATTTTCAGATGTTTTCATTGGAAATGGTGTGATGGATAATTAGAGTGTGATCACATTGCCTCTCGTGGGCAAGATGACAATGATCATGGGAGCTGCTATGCCTTTCAGCTATGCAGTTTGACATTCAAAGACCTCCGAGTGAGTGGCATACTGCTTTCAGCTGAGTAGAGAGATTGCTCAATAGATTCACACTGATATTGAAGAGAACAAAACCAGAATAAGACAGATCTACTTAATTTTTTGGTATGTTTTCTCTTAAGCATTATATTATGTTATTTGCACATGACCTTTCTGTCAAAATTACGAGGAGGGGAAGGACATCTAGTAGAAGCATCATGAGTAGTTGCATAGACTAGCATAGGGCTAGTCACCAGCAGAGTATAAATCCAAATCCTGACTGTGAACACATTCGTCATGAAGTCCCAGATATATGATGTTTCTTGCATTCCTGATAGAGAGACTATAATGGTTGTTAGGTTACAAAGTACCACTGCAGTTCCTAGCCTTGAAGGTGGCAAAATTATAACACATATGTATGCTTCTTGATAAGTGGATGTCAGTAAAATTGCCCAAAAGATAGTGGTAAGAATTTTGTACTCTTTGTATAGCACAAAAAGTATAAGATGTCGTTTTAAAATGGTATATTTTTTTAATTGGATATATACTCTCACAGCAGTTAAATCTTTCACTACATTTGTACTTTTCTCCTTTTTTAAGTCCAAGGAATATCACATAGCTGCATAATGATAGTTACAAGAGTATAATACTGCAAGGCAGTAAAACAAGTACTACTCCTTCATAGTCAGTGAGTTAGAATTGCATCCAGCAGACTTATTTCATACTGCAGACAGTATGATTGAATCAGGCTGAGTCTCAAGTGTCAGCTGGAAGAGCTGAAAACATAGTTTGCTGGTAATAGCAGTAGAAATTGAGCTATCTAGGGAAGAAAATTGTACCCAGTCAGACTGTATTATGTTCCCTGTTATCCTCTGATGGATTGTCTACTTGACGAAGATCAAGAAACCCTGAAAAATATTAGAGAGATTGTGTTTGAAAAAAATCATGTCCCTTCCAGCAGACAAAGTGAAGAACCGCTGTTTCTGCTACCAAGGGAACTACCAAATGACTACTTCAGAGAAACACCTGCAGAGCTCCTTTTAAAGCACTCAGGAGTTCATTCAGCCACCGAGAAGGTGACACATGACCTCTCCAACCACAGTCCTGCCTCTGAGTTGTCAGTCTTGGGCAAAATAAAATAGCAAAATAGTAACTGCTGACCTCCAGTAGTGAATGATCTTAGCCAACATGTTGAATGCCTGGTAGGAAACAGTGAGAGCACAGCGCAGCACACAGACTATTTCAGTGTCACTAGACACTGTCCTTGTCTGAAAACATCAGGCCACAGTATTTGGAAGCTGATCATTAGTGTCTTATCCTGTTCAAAGGTTTCTTGTCTTCAGCCTTGAGAATTGTCATTGAGTCCTCTTTTTCAGTATCAGTGTGAGACTATTGAAGAAGCTCTCTACTCGGCTGAAAGCAATATGCCAGCCCTATTCAATTATATCTCTTTTTCTGACCAGTGAAAGCACAGTATCTACACAAAAATAGCTGTGGAGTAAATCACAGCTAGCTCAAACTAACCCAGCCAAGACCAAAGAGGTATTAGTCAGAAGGTGCGGCGACATGCTGAAGAGTGGGCTGAGACTTCTTTGTCTGTCATGAAGGTGCATAATCTCCACTCAGCGAGCCTGTGCAGGGCCTAGGATTCTGTTCAATTCATTGTCAAGTTTTAATGGAGAGCAGCTATGTGAAAAATTAAACTTTGATCTGTGAACCAGTGCGGTAACTGCGCTCCTCAAGGACAATTCGGGTTATGAAACCCAAAATGGAGCACCTGAGTGCTTGTAACATTTTTCTGTACCAGCACCCACTTCTTGGTCAAGAAGCATCTTCTCCCAAATAGGTTTGAGGTGCATAATGTGAGATCTGCCAGAGATATCATGAAATCTGTAAGGGATTTGCTGTGGCTTTTGGTTTTGACCAAGACTGCTGAAATACTAGAACTACTGGCAGCAGTAAAAATCTCTGTGGTAAATCGTTATCTCTCAGTTTTCTCAAAAAAAGATTAAAATGACATCTTCCCTACGTGCTAAACAGATCTATCCCGTGCAGCAGTTTTTTTCTGGTTCTTTCAAAACTTGAGAGAAGCAGAAAGGTTCATGCAGGGACCAAGTCTGTATGTCCCTTGCAGAATAAGCTCTGCTTAGGGAACAGAGTTCTGCCCTGAAGCAGTGATGCATCTGGAAAGTTGAACAGAGCGGTAGAATGTTAATTCTCCAGCTGACAGCGTACGCTCACAGCCTGTGGCCCTACTGAGTGAAGGTGGTTTAGAGCTGACCTTGGCCAAGCAGGAGCACTGGAGGGGAGTCTTCTCGATTATGTTCTTAATCAGAATTAAAGCAGTTAATCAGAAAATAATCACACAGTGCCTCTGGGAATAGCTTAGTTCTCAAATCACTAAAACACGGCATAAGAAAATCTGTTCACTCAGATAACTATTTAGCTATTTTTCAAGCAATCTCGAGCCAAATACTCTGTTGCTGCTTATTCTTCAACACTGCTCATGTAGATTACTGAAATTCTAATCCATGTAATCCTTTTTAATTAAAAAAAAAATCAGGGAGACCCAGGACCGATGGGATTACCAGGACTAGAAGGACTCCCAGGAGAAAAGGTAGGACTTATAAAAGAAAAGGTAGGACTTTTTATTAGCATCTGCAGCTGAATGCTTTTTGAAACTTATGTGGGAATGTTTTATGAAGTTTATACTTCAATGTGAAAAAACATTGTATAATTATCTACATTTCCTTTTTTAATTTAATGTATATCTAAATAATGTGCTCTCTCCACATAAAGTTCTATTTTCCACAAACAGAAGATTTTGTGTAGGAGGTCTTCTAGTGTTTTGCTTTTTAATTGGATAGAAGGGAATATACTTGATAGGTTCCTAAATATGGTTAAAAGTTCTTGTTCTCTTTTGAGTGTTGTCATGCGCTTGCAGTCTGTCTGCCCTGTGCTAAGACTTAGGGAATAACTGCAGATCTGACGAGAAGCTTGTACCTGAATTAGTACAGACCTAGTGTATGTAAGACTTCCATGTAAAAAAAAAAAAAGACTATTTCAGATGGGTATAAAAATCTAGGAAAAGGGAGAGAGAGAGAGAGAGAGAGAGAGAGAGAGAGAGAGATAGATCCCTTACAGGTCTTGTTATATTGCATCTCATTCCATCTGAAGGCAAAGGCAAAACTTCCACTTCTCGAACTGTTGCTCATTATTCTAAAAAAGGTCTGTTCTTTTTGTTTTACTTTTCTTGTACTCCGTATTGCCTGTAAGGTGCCTGAACCATGTCATAACCTCTTCCTCTAGTTCAACTCTGCATTCCACCGCTCAGAAATGATCCTTTTCTTGAGCAGGTGACATCTTTCAGCCTATTATTTACTACTTGTTGAGGCTAGTATGAATTTAGAGTATAGTTCATCATGAAATGCTAAAAGTAGCAAGATTTTGATATGTTGTCTGAATAGAGCAAAGCATAAGAAGTTCAGGAGAGAAATGAAAAAACAGAAAATATGTTTTCTGTCAGTGGAAGCACGTTGCTTTCCTTTTGGCCAAATCTTCTAAATTTAAGAAGAAAAAATAGTAATTTTTTGCAAAATTGAATATTTCTTCACCTTTTTATAAATTACATGCCTTCATGCAAATAGCTTCATATAAAAATCAGTTGTATTGAAGCATTTTTTTTAATCTAAAAGCAACACAAATGAAAAATTTCCATCTGTTAATATCACTGTGCATTACTCCTGCTTATACAGAGAGTGTGGTGTGGCAAGATCAAATGTAGGTGTCTACGCTAGATGTGTAAATGCTTATGGGAAGGCTCTTGCTCTGGAAGACTACAGTTAACAATTAATGAAGGAACAGTCTAATTTCAAAATAAACAAACACAAGGAGATATTGCAGGTCTAACCGAGACAAGGTTGGAGGGGGACAAGAATTAAATAATGGGAATAAGAAGCGGAGCAGATTGTATAAACAAGCTAAGTGTTAGTGTACTTGGGCCCTTCCCCAAGGTAAAAACATCCTCAACTAGATTTAGTCAAAATTCCACATTTATAGTTAAAATAAATGAACATAATCCCAGTGTCTTCCTGCCAGTCCCAAGAGTATCGTGGATGCTCTTTTGAGCTCTTAGGCATGTCTGTGTGGCAGAACGCCATCTTCCATAGGGAAACTGTAATTTTGTAATACGTAGACTTAAACAGTACAGCTGGCCTAAGAAGTTTGTGAGCTCAGAGTCAAGTTTACCTTCCCTCATCTGTGCTGGCACAGTGGTTTGTGAGGCCACAAATGATGTGAGTTTTTTGGAGGGGCCTTCCATCCCTTTTCAAGTAATGGTTCAAACTGAGTAAAGGTATAGCATGGAAATTACGGCAATATACAAGGGAATCTAACCAAAGTTAAGTTACTTGCTCAGGTCTGCAAAATGGCAGAGCTACATATTAGCATCTAGCAGAGCCTGATTTTGTCCTCATTTTCAGTGCACCGAATAATCCTTTCTCAGGTTTTAATTGGAATCCGTGAACAAACTTCTGTTCTGAGTATTACCATTTAAGTATAGATTTATCTTTTCTTTAGGGTGACCGTGGACCGTCAGGCACACCAGGAGTGGCAGGGACACCGGTATGTACCTGTATTAAAGAAAACTCTTTAGTAAGAAAGCTGAAAAAAGGTCAAACAAGGTGCTCGGCTGTATTGTTAATCACTGTTGGTGGAATGCCAGCATTTGGCTACTGCTTTACAGGCAGGTATGAAAATTACATATTTTCCCTAAAGATATTAGAATTTTAATACTGCTGAGGGTTGACATTGCTATTAAAATGACAGGAGAGAATGGTGTGAATACGTGATAAAGCTTGAATTTAAAGCTGCATATACTCAGCTGAAGAATCATATGAGATTCTTCTCATTGCCACAGTTTATTAAAGACAAATTATAAAGTCATTTTCAGTATTTCTGGAGATTCTCAAACCTCTGAGCTTCTTTCTATCATAAGGAAATTTTATCGCCATTAGTTATTGCAATCCATGAGGATCTGCATATCAAGTCAATCAAACATTTTCATTAGGGAGTGTTTTTGTCAGCAATTTATATGTGGTATTAGCAGAAGTTTCTGAAAGTCATCCAGAAACTTTGTTGTGGGTGAAAGTAAATGTAGCTAATGACAAATTGAAATTATAATTATCCATTCATGTTCCTAAAGGAAATAAAGAAAACTTTTCTTTAGATTGCATTCACAGTTTACTCAAAAAAGTTCATCCATTTTTCAGGAGGCAATATGGAGTTATTTATATGCAAATACATTTATTATTAAATTTGGGCAGCTACCAATCCATTCAGGAGCTGTTTTTAAATTATAAATGTGTGTTTCATGAACTGAAGAGGAATATGTATCTACACACTCCATTTCCATTAGCCACTGATTCAGTATATTTACTGTGAGTTCCGAAGAGAGAACACTGGACTTAAATAGCTTTATTTAGTTAAGCTCTCCTAAAACAAGTTAAAAGTGCACATTTAAAGGAGAAAGAGAAGTATTTTTCTGAGTTTTGTAGCTCATGTAAGAGCATCAAAGTTTGATGCTCTGAAATATACTGCACTCTCTGAATCAATAATGCAAAGCCAGTTAGGCTGGTCATAATTGTTCATTCCCTGTGTATTTCCCACTGGAAGTGTTCCAAGTCTTATTCTTGTTCGAAGCGTTGCTCTCAGTTCTAGCTGGATACGAAATATTTAATGAGTTCACTCATTAAACGATAAAAATCATTTGCTGATGCAAAGCATTCTGTTCCTTAGATGTAATTCTAATGAAATCCACTGAAATAAATTATTTCTTTTTAGCATTTTATGCTAAGCAGTTGTCATTAACAAATTAATAGATTTATGAGAGACATCATTACTTTTTAGTAGGCTGGGAAGGGTTTTGGAAATGTATCCACACATCCTGCTGGAAGAGAATCTGTCCTGCCTGGCTGGCATTATTTCCTAGATTCGATAGAAGAATGTTTTTCCCATTTGGAGGTATAAATGTCTCATTCTAGCTTTGCCTTTTTGCCCAGTGGGATTATCAGAAAAGCTTGGACTGAGAGTCTGTAAGAATTTCCACAACTGCCTACTTCCTCAGCATGAATCCTCAGTCCTGTCATTCCTGAAGCTGCCACTAATGTTAACGTGTTAGTTTCCTCACTTACACAAGTTAGTTCGGGATCTGGTCCAAGGATATTTCCAGGTTATAGATTCTTGTCTGAGGCTGCATAACCTGGTCTGACTTGGTTGCTGTCCCGGCTTTGAGCAGGAGTTTTGACTAGATGACCTCCTGAGGTCCCTTCCAGCATGAGTTATCCTGTGTTCTTGTGCATAGCTCTGTTAATATCTTCTTCAAGCTACAAACAGTTAGAATAGCAGGGTACTATGTCCACCACTAATATATGCATATCAAGGCCTAAATAGGACATGGACTTACATTGCGTCTATTACGAGCTCCTGGACCAGTGCTGAGTATTGACTGTGATGTGCCAAGGGAGGTAAGAGATTGCAGAAGCAGGAGAGTGGCTGTTAAGGAAGGCTTCAGCTAATACCAGTAAGACTGGATGAATATCACGCCAGGACATGTTAGAGAGACTTAATTTTTGGACGTAACCAGCTAGTTCTTTAAACGCTTTAAGAGTGCTGAGCAGAAAATCCCCAAGAGACGAACCTGACTTTTTGCGGAGTAGCAAGCAGAATGTGACACATAACAGTCAAAGAAACAGTGTGATAGCAACTATAATGCACTTAGATCCTACCTCCTTCCAGTAGCAACAAAAGCTGGAATCCACCATGGGTGTGCCCAACATCTTCCTTTCAAGTCTTTCCTGACGGGCTGTCCACAGTTCTTTGTTTTCGGTAGGTTTTTCTTCCGTGATGCCTACAAGGATGTAACTTTCTTACCTCTTCAGCTTATTTCTGAAAAGATTTCTCCTTTTGTTTTGTAATTTCCATTTTTGAAATTGTTGTAGCTAAATAACAAGATAGCAAATTTGTTAAAAGCAAGAAGGTATCTTTCAAAAAGCTGAAGTCATCTAAAGTCGTTATCTAAACAATGAGACTAGAAAGGATTATCAACTCTGGCAAGTGAAATTTAAAACCACAATAAAGCTAGGTAAGAAGAGGACTTGAAGAAAATTTGCAAAAGGCGTCAAGTCAATAATGAAACCTCTTTAAAATACATCAGGATCCAGAAGTACCTGGGGAAAAAATCTTGCTTTTACGTATACAGTGATGAACTCTAATCTGACTATCACCACTCAGGAAGGAAATCATAGGGTTGTAAAAGAAACTTCCATAAAAACATTAGAAATGAACGAGATCAAGTGGTTAAATTAATTTGTGCATGTGAGCCAGAATAACATGATGCACATGTAAACTGCTTTATTAAAAAAATCTAATAAAATATTTTTTCTGTCTTAAAGCATTAGTTGAGCAATAACATGAGTATTTCAATCAAATACATACCCTGCCTTATTTTTGAGCTAAGATAAATTCATATTTTGTTTTCTAGTAATTTTGAATTTTTGATGTTCTCTTTTTGCAGGGAAAGCCTGGATCTCCAGGGTCCCCAGGGATGCCAGGTGAACCTGTAAGTGTGAATTTGAGTTCTGGACTATTATGATAGTACTCAAATGTTTCAAACACTGAATGCAGGAATTTATGTGTAGATTCACCTGTGTATGTTCTTCTTTTTAAGGGTGAAAGAGGACCTATAGGAGATATAGGATTCCCTGGGCCAGAAGGGCCACAAGGAAAACCAGTAAGCAATTATATACTGAATATATACATTCACTGCAGAAACATACATCTCAATTTGTCAGAAGTTACAAAAGAAATGAAATTACATCCTGCTTTGTGTTAGGCTAGGTATCTTCCTAAGAATATCTACAGCTACAGTACTCATATTAGTCATATAGTCAAGAGTTCTTTTTATATGAGGGCCTGGTATTGTGAGGTTTTAGTAATTGGTGGGCTGCTCTGCAAGGACAAGTGCGCAAGCCAGGGTAGAAGGAAGACAGGGGCAGTGGCCTCACCAGCGAGGGGCCAGGTCCACAGGGCCCAAAAAAGGCGAATAGCCACACCAGCCCTCGCCTGAGCAGCTCCCCAAAGAGCGGGCGACTCACACCTCCTCCTTCCCCGGCTCTCCTCCCAGAGAGCACAGGCAGCCAAATCCCCGGGACGGTACTGCGGATCCGACGGAGGCGCTCGGCACCCTGGCGGGTTCTCTGGTATGCTGAGGCAAATTTCTGCAGGTTTCCATAGAGGCAGGTTTATCTTTGTCCCCCTCAGTGTAATTCTCTGTCATACCTCATGACAGTGAATTTATAAGGAAATGCTTGGTCTGGGCAAAACCACACTTTGCCGTGTGAAAGGGAAGGAAGCATTCCTGATGTTTTTGCTTGTACAAGTCTTCTCTCTCGCTCAGCAAAATAGCACTGGTTTTGCTGCGTGTGGTGATTATGACCACATATGTCCTAGTAAATTAAGCAGGACCAGAGCATTTATCATGCAGCTGGCTGGTGGTGTTCAATTGTTAGCAGAGCCCATGCTATTATTTTGGCCCATGCCAGCTAGCACTGTCTGAGGCAATGTCCAGTTACAGTTTGGGGGATAATATGGGTCTAGGACTATTTCCAATAGATGGTACGAATGAGACCACCCTCTTTTGTGAAAGAAAAATATTTAGCCAAGTAGGTTGAAGCTATGCCATGCAACAGGTCCTAAAGCCCAAATAATAGGTCTGGCCCACTTAACAGTAAGGCATAGTCTCTGTAACGGCACAACTTTTTGAGGGAATAGGTCTGAATTTCTCCTAAGACACTGAAATCATCTTTAGGTTATATAGGACAAGAAAATATTTTGTTCATCTGTTTACCTTTTGCTTCCTGTTATGTCCCTGTGCAAAACATAACATCAGTAGCATGTAGAACAAGAAGAATCTCTTCTGTGATTATGTAGTGATGAGGTAGGACTAAAAAGTGCATATCCAGTTCCATGTTCCACATGTTTGCAGAATTCCTATATAACTTGTCATTTAAAGTTCCATGCTCCTTAAAGTTGATGCACATCATGTTGCCAAAGAAATTTTTTGCCCTTAGCTAAAATTTAATGTGCTTTCAGTACAGCATGGCCCCAAGTTCTTTTGTTTCACGTGCCTCAAGACTATTTGTGAGTATTTCAATACTGTAAGCTCACAAACCGGTGACTCCACAGGTTCGGAATATGTACTGATACCACCACTGAACAGTTAGCTTTAGCCTTTATATTTTTAAAATAGATATACAGACCTATAATTATAAAAAATTGTGTTTTATTTTTTTATAGGGAATCAATGGAAAAGATGGATTGCCAGGTCCTCCGGTAGGAAAACATACTTTGGAATACTATTATATTTTATTCTTCCTAGATAACATAATTGTCAAACCTAGGCAGTCACTTTCTGTTCGGCTGATGGATAGATGTACAACACAGCCTATTAGAAACATGCTTAGCTTTTTTCAAAATCAATTTTTCAGGGTGTTGTGGGGAGACCAGGAGACCGAGGGCCCAAAGGAGAACGTGTAAGTCCCCTGTTTTAATAACTTTTTCCTTTTTCTGAGCATCCAAGCACCTTGTTAGCATGTATTTTACAGGCAAAAATAGCAAATTAATTTTCTGTGAACTTCAGGTAGTCTTTTAGACACTTGAGAGACAGTTCCAGACACTACTTTGATTTAAGGAATTAGAATTCAATTGGCTTCTGCATTTAGAGTAAAAACACTTTTATAGCCTTTCTAACACAGTTGGCTTGGGCAGTGTAAATTGATCAATAGGATGAAAATCAGCAAGTAGCTAACGCCATTGTGATGTAGTCAGAGTCTGAAGGAGCAATAAAGCTTTCCCCATCTTCGTCTCTAAGAACTCTGTGTCACAAACACATACTCATGTTTTATGTGAAACAAGCTTGTTACACTTCTCACCTCTCTGTGTAATCTGTGAAAGAAATGCAGCTTTATGACACTGAGGGGACATGAGGTTTTAAACATTATTACAATAATTCTCACTTGCAGTAATTACTGTTTTGCAATGTTCTGTTCCTGCCTTTAAAGCCACAAATAAGATTTAAGAATCTTCTTATCGTACAGCCCACGCTGTATTACAGTACGTTGCTCAACCTTGACCTTATCAGTGTTATCTAATTGAATGTCTTGCAACTAATACCATAGACATACAACCAGAGGAGGAGGCTGAACCTATAAATGCAACATCTTGAAACAGACACTGACCCGACCTAAAGCCATGTGTTTAAGAGAATTTACCGGAGCATTTACAATTGCTGTTTGTATCTCACCAGACTGCTAGCAGAGTGACGACACAGCAGCAGAGAATTTCAGAAGTAGCTTTGAACTGTGCATTATGCTAACAGGCATATTTGGGGATTCATTTAGAACTATCCATCCTTCTTAGCAGGGAGGAAGAGGTTGAAAAAACTATGAGAGACAGACATGGCCTTAGCTCTCTTCATCAGAGTAAAACTTGGGAAGGTTTGGGAAAAAGGAAGAGAGTCTATTCATTCCAATCTCATCAGTGAAAGAATGCCTGTGTATGCGTCTAAGCATATATATGTATATACGTATATGTATTACAATTTCAGTTAATCCAATAAAACATCACAAGTCACAGCAGTCTTTGTAGTGAAGCACAATTATAGCCAGTAGTAAGCTCTAACTCACTGGAAATCAAAGAGATTTGAAGGACAAATCAGTGATAAAAATGATGTGCAACCTCCTACATGCATCCTTACCGTCCTCTCTGCCTTCTTTAGTCTTTACATGTCAGCTAAATATGATTTTAGAATATAACTACAGTTTTACTGTTTTATCAGTTAAACAGAAACAGTGAAACAGTTTTACAGTTTTATCAGTTTTCAGATCTGAGTACAACTTACTAGTATCTTCTGTAGAATAAGAAGGCAATTAATTCCATTCATTTACCTCTTGTACATGTAGATTATGGATTACTCTAGTAAAGATGTAATCAGTTCTTGGTGCTGTTTGCTCCTTATGGTGAAATTTAACATTAGCTTAAGTGATGCAGCAAGGACAGTCAGTGATCCTTAAGAACCATCAACTGATCATTAGCAGTCTGAACTCAAGATTTGCTCTACAGCTATAGTTCAGCAGACTAATGGCTCATACAAATCATTCTAAAAGATTTAATTTCTTACAAATAAAACAAATCAAGTGCTATCTCAGCCCATGTTGGTAGCTGCTGCTGGCCAAAACACTAGCCTTTAATTTATTTTGTTTGCAAGGAATTTAGTCATTGCAAATGAGTTTATATATCTGCTGTTCTTTTCATGAGCTGAAATTGTAGAACAGGCAAAATGCAGAAACACACATTTCGCGATGTTCATTGTTATCCTGAAGGTTAAATACCTGTTCAAAAATCTACCATATTTCTTTTCTCTTACTTGTACCTGTTACAGGGATTCATTATATTTTTGCATAAGCTTATCTTGAAAATCATGTCTGTGCATCTCTTTGATTACCTTATCAGCTACATTTTAGCTGAAAAGTAAACAGTCTGTTTATTTCTTTTCTCATTCTGTTTTCTAGAGAAGGAATGACCAAAATGTAGTCTACAGGATAATGCAGGCAGATAAAACCTACAGCAGCTAACTTTCTGCTGTCATCGTATTAAGGACGTTGCAAATACTGGGCAGATTGCCAATGAAGCACTCATTCAGGCAGTCCTTTCTATGTGCCTGTAGATTCCTATTTATCTGATTGCAACATTTCATCAAAACTTCAGTCTTTTTGCACTTTCATTCCATTGTTTCTATCACTCTGTTTTTATCTGTATCGTGTCTTTCTGTCCACGGGTTTTAACCTACCCAGCCTCTTCCTCTTAAGCCCCACTGTAAGACTTTTACTTACCCTTTGTGAGACGAAGTACGGATAAAGGATCAGACCGTTGTTGTAAGATATGGGCAGTCTAAATTCAAGTCCTTTTTATTCTGTGAAATTGGGCTGGATCCAGAAAAGAGTTAGACATGGCTCCTGGAAGGAAGCCCACACCTCTTCCAGCTAAGCAGTCTCAGTCACTTGGCCAAAAAGGCATCCTCTTTCTCTGATCTTACGAATTTGAATTGGTTTTACTTTGAGGTTACCGCTCTCTAGAGCAGCTTCATAGTCATGCCAGTCTCTCGAAAAAAAAGTGAGATAGGTTTATATAATCCTAGACTGAGGAAGAAACAGAATCCTAGTCTTTCGTTCTGAGAGACTGGCGTGACCATTGGGACATCATATGAGTGGTGAGCAGCGTCTCTCTTATGCTGGACAGACTGCCATTTTTTCTTTTTTTTGTGGCACTTAATCCTGAAGGTCTGTGCTAGTCTTGTTGTAATCAGATCTAACAAATTTTAAAAGGGAATAGAGGAGAACTTAATCTGAAAGTAACAGCTAGGTATAAAATGGAGATGGGCATGAAACTGTTGAGTCTTTCAAAGCATTAGTGTGTGCAGAAACCAAATATTAAGCATCTAGGGAATTCCTTCTTTTACAGAAAAAACTGATACCTAATGCCTGGGGGAATTTGAGCACCTAAATTCTACCTATGTCATCTTTGACATTTCTAGGTCATTTTATGGATCAGGGCTATAAACTTTGTGCACCCCAGCTCTATAATTGAAAAGTGGGTTACAGAGGCATGCTATTTTTTTGTCATTGAGTTCAACATTAGAAGTGTAAGAAAACAGACTAGTACCCACTGTGTTTTCAAAGACAGGGTTAGCCTGTAAAATCAGCTTCCCTGCATAACTTATTTGTCTAATAAATGCTCGTTTCTGAACAGAGAAGAAGATTCTCTTTAACATTCTTGGGTGACTTTTCCTAGTTATTTCTACTGTATGCAGTGGTTTTCTTTATGCTTTTATTTTGCACAGGGAGATCAGGGTATTCCAGGGGACAGAGGTCCACAAGGTGAAAGAGGGAAACCTGGCCCATCAGGCGAAAAGGGGGCTATGGGTCCTATTGGGCCACCAGGAGACAGAGGCCATCCAGGATCACCGGGTCATCAAGGTCCCCCAGGTTCACCAGGACCCCCAGGTTTTCTGGTAAGAAAATACAAGTTCTGCGTAACTGCTTCTGAAGTCAGTAAACATGAAAGTAGCATGTGCTGAGCAGTGGAAATTCAACCACGAAATGCAACAGTGTCATAAAAACTAAAATTTCTCTTCAGTTATCAGATGTGGAAGAAATTCTACCCAGGTGATCAAGCAGTTCTTTTGGATATTGCCTTTCACTTTGTGAGTGCACATGTGCTGCTTTCAGAGCTGTAGTTAGGTAATGCTCAACTCATTTATCTCCTGACAAATTAACAGAGGGCTACACAATACAATTAATTTTACAAGTTTTTAATAAAATTAAGAGCTAAAGGATAAGTGTTTGCAAATGAGAAAGAAATGCAGACAGACAAAAGTGATCCTCAATAAAAGAGAAATTACTACTCTGCCTGTTGTATACACCTTGGTTTGTCTTCACACGCATGAACACACACACATTTGTGTTGTAATCTTTTTCTTTAACTAGTGAGACACCTTCAATCAGATAGGGTAAAGCTCTAAAAAACTTTTCTAGTGTAAGTTATTGGTACTCTGATATAGTATTATTTACTTGGCTGTGCATCAAAACAGCTGGTCCCTAACAGAGGTGAGAAGTTGAGAATTACATAAAAAGGCAAGTAAAGCATAACAGCATGACTGGACATCCTTAGAATAGTCTTATGAAAAAGCAACATTATTAATTTCAAAGCATATATAGTATGCTGACCAGCCTGATAGTTGAGAGTGCCTCTTCTACTGTATGGTACTAGAGAGCTTCATAATAATATTATAATATTACTTGAATGAAATGACCATTTCAGTTAAGTGAATAACACAAATAGTTTGGAATATTTTATTTTTGGTGAAAGTTTTGAATGCTTAGTTTTAACTTTAGTATCTTCATTTTGTAGTACTGTAGAAGTGCCTTGAGTATCTTTTTTTCCCTTACTGGTAAATAACTGATATATATCACCTCTTTACTTCCTCATCAGGCTGATACAGTTTCATCTGAAGAAATAAAAAAATATATCAAACAAGAGGTCCTTAAGGTTTTTGAAGGTAAGAAAATGCAGTATTATACAATTGAATCTAAATGTGAAGTTCTATTCTAATTATTTTTATTTCCCTATAGCCTTTGTATACATTCCTAACATTTGTGATCTAACTTGCCTTATTCTTGAATAGCTGCCTTATTGCTATACCTGTCACCTAAGTTCTGGTGTTTAGAACTATTTAATACAATTCAAATACATAATTTTTATTATAAATTAAAATATCTGTTAATCAGAGTATTTCTTCTACAGAAGATTAGCATTAAAAGATAGTTTGCTCCAAATGATATTAACGTTATCAAGCAAATCATACTGTCATTATACAGGAGAGCACATAACAGAGATTAGCATTAAAAGGAAGGTTGCTCTAAATATGAATCATAATGGCAACTGCAGGTATGCTTGTTGAATCCCTTAAATTCATTGAATTTTGTAAATTGATAAAATAATTTATCTCAAATAAGTTATGTAACAACCATTTATTTTTAGATTTCAATCCATGCTTCCCTCTCACAAGCAGGAAAATTGTGAACGATGAAGACATTGAAAACTTACTACAACGGTCATAATGTTTTTGGCCACTTAGCAGATGACTATTTAAATAAAGGAAAGACTTGACAGCTTTCAGTTATGCAGGTCTAAACTGCTATGCATTTTCAACAAATAGCTGTATTGATTAGGCATGCAAAGGAAGTACACGCATACCTCAATTGGCATAATGACAACATCAGCAAAATACTCTTTTTTTTTTTTATATAGCTAATGATTGTGTGGGGAGGACTTGTCATCAATACAAACTGTCTGCAATTTTACTGATAAAGCCCATGTTTCCAGTCCACTCTTATATACAAGTTATATACAAGCTTCTGAAAGTTCTAGAGCAGGCAATTAATAATAGAAAAATTAACTATAAATCAGTTTGTGGTTTGTTTGGTTTTTGGTTTTTTTTAGTAAACTACATGTTTTTAAAAGTTCCTTGGATTGCCAGGGCATCCCTAGGTATTCTTGAGATGATTGTCTGTGGTTGTGAGATAAAAGATTTTACTAGTGGATGGGTGTCCAGTTCAGCAGATAGAGTCTCTAAGGGCACACTGCACTTGACTGGAGCAATCAGAGTAGTTCTCAACGTAAATACTGGTGGCATTTTATCTACATAATACTAGAATATATATGTATTTTTAGAATAGATATACAAAAAATACATAAAGACAAATGGATGAAAATGATCTTCAAAAGCTAATACTAATTAATTTCATAATACAATAAATCTAGTGTCAAAAGTATTGTGCAATATCTTATCTATAATTACATGTAGTATGCAGACCAGGGTGGTTCCGTACTGCTTATGTGTAAAATGCACATATACAGAAAATATTTTATCTAAAGTAATCAATTATTGCCCTTATTTATAACTAATATTTAACTGATGTAGTAATAATATATAAAATATTAATATGAGAGATAATACAGAAATTAAGATGATCATTGTTTTTTTGTGGAGTTATCTCATTTCTTTTCTTTACTGTGAGGGTGGTGAAACACTGGGGAAGGTTGCCCAGAGAGGTTGCGGAGTCTCCATCCTTGGGGATATTCAAAACCAACTGGACACGGTCCTGGGCAACGTGCTCTAAGTGACCCTGCTTGAGCAGAGGGTCAGACGGGGTGGTCTGCAGAGGTCCCTTCCAAACCCAACCATTCCGTGATTCTCTAATTTAGAATATTTCTCTAGATATCCTTTCCTACAAGTTAGCCTTAAAAAGGTGATATTCTCTACTTCAAAAAAAGTTATTCATTACTTACTATTTTAGCTACATCCTCGCGTGTTTGAGATGAAGTTTGTGACTGGTTAATTTCAGTCCCTAGTCTTGAATATTGTGTACACTCTGATGTTTTTTCATTTATATTTCCTCTTTGTTTAAGAAATACTAGTTTCTTCTACAAAATTTTTGAAATACTGGCTCTGCACAATCGTTTACAGTTTCATTTTTCCCCTGTATGTTTAGTTTTGCTAATCTTTCTACGTTTTAACCATTTTATCCTCCCTAATCATTTTTCCTGGAACTTACTACTTTTTTGTTCCATTTAAAATGTTTGTGAACCAGACAAGAAATAAAAGAAATAGATGTGATGTAGGTAGGCTATCACTTGACATGACCAATTAATTCCAAACAATAAGAGCAAACTATTGCTAACGGTTCTTAATTGGAAAATGATTACTTCACCTGTTTTATTATACATGTGTAAATAGTAAACAAATATAAAGAAAAGGGAACGTTTTGAGCAGCTCACTGAACAAACAAGGAATTCCTACAAAGCTATAATTTTTATAGCCCTACTTTCATGTGTATTGCCAAGGCTAGTCCAGTTAAATCTACTTTTCTGATATTAATTGACAGTATTTCAGTATTTGTAAATAGCTGTCACAGCTGGCAATAATCTTGTTGGTAATGAACATTGGCTGGTATGGTCTGATTTTTCTTTCACGTTTAAAGTTATTTCTTCAAGAGAGAATTTTTCCATTCCTAGTCCTTAGAGGAAACTTATTTCCCTCTTGTTCCTCAAGACTGCTTTTTCCCTTTGTGTTATTTGACCTGCTACAGTAGGAAGCTTGAGAATTTCCCTGTTTCCTGACTTCCGTGGCAAGGGTTGCTGGAGGAGGTTGAGTGTGTTGCTTCCCAAGTACTGCAGAGCTCAGAATTCAAACACGTTACTCTGCAATGTCAAATCCACACTTTGTCAAACGGCCTCATGCATAGCAGATTGTATGAAGTTTCTTCTAAGATAGGTTTGATCTGTTTTGTGGTCCTCTGCATAAGCACCTTCTGATAATAATAGGAGGCCTGTGTGCAGAATAGCTACAGAATCCCACCTCAAATTTCTATATTGTCATTATTGCATAGAAATATTTGAAAAGTTAAAAAAATATGCAATCAAAAGACATTAGGCTTGTTTTATATGAAAAATTCCCAGATCCGTAAATCTATAAAATAAAAACAAGAGCCTTAGGCATAGCATCCTACAGCTGTGTGTCAGAGTAGAACTGTGGTTAAGAAAAGTCTTCAAATTGTACACACTTGACGTATATCAAGAATCAAAATCTACCTTGTGGTGTGAATACACTATTACCTTTTTTCATTTCTTTTTTCTAATGAAAATTTTTGTATCTCCAGAACAGAGACTAACTATCACTGTGCAACTGATCTGGGCTTAGTTAGCAAGGTTTAGACTTTCCCCCACTCTGGATGCACTGAAATTATTATGCTGTTTAGTGATCTCTGATCAGCATTTCTGAGTTGCTGGATGTCTAGTGACTTGTGTCCAGGGGCTCCAAAGCTTCCTTGCACGCTGCCAGCCTCCAGCGCAATTTTAAGCAAGTACCACATTCAGCCAAGGCCTTTGCACTATGAAAATGTTCTTTGGTGTGTCTTTACTCTGAAAAGGAATCATTTATTCTTCCCCAGCACTCGTTTTGTTTGGCAGCCTTAAAAAGCTGTAACTCACGTAGGTTTCTGAAACAGGCTCCTGCTAAAATACCACTAAATGGTAGCTTCTCTTCAGCTGAGAAGCATACTTATGTCTGCACTGTGACTTAGCTATTTTATCATTAATTTATTGTGCGTACAGGATAGCATCTTATCTTTTGGGGATAAAAGAAACCATATAAATTTTGAGATTTTTTTAAACTATTCAACCAGTTTTTCACTTTATAACAAAGCTATCATTTTGTTTATTTTCACCCTTCCCTGTACTGTCACTCCTCAAAAAGTTCAGACTATTGTGCCTTTCAAGAGGAGTGTGTTGGCTAAGGTTCCATCCTTGTCCCACTCAAATGGAATGTCCGTAAAATAAAAGGTATCTAAAGGTACCTTTAATACTATTTAAAGTATTAAAAGGTGTCTTGCCTACAGGAAATATTGGGTTTTGTCTTTACAGGCGTTCCATTTTCTACTCCTCACTACTGTATCCGCCAATCTACTATTTTTGGTTTGGTTTCACTTTGCCTGTTTTCCACTCTATCACTTTGCTTATTTTTCGTTTTATAGCCACTCTTCTCTTTACTCAAATTATTGTCTTAAATTTTAAAACTCCATCAAAGTATATACCTGAATAGAGTATTGAATACTTAGTTAAGTTTTTGAATCCAATATGACTGACACTGATTCAAGATTAGTAATGATTTGAACACTGAGATGTTACCAAGTGCCCTTTATTCTACAAACATGAATATTTCGTGCTGAAATCTCTGCAGTTAATGTTTGCTGAGCATTTATGGTTTTTTTACACCTTTTTTTAGGGTTTCAGCTCATCCCAACGACTACTCACAGTATTTAAGCTCTACTTTGCAATTGGATGTGAGTTATAGATATGTATAGATATATCCCTTCATAGAGATGTTAAATACTAACTATTCTGTGTTTATATATTTTAAGTGCTTCCATCAGGACGAGTCATTTGAAATATTGGAACATATTAGTAAAAGGTAGTAGTGATAGAAACTTTAGTACAGGTTCATTCAGATTACTTCAAAGGATAAAGACTCGCGTGTTGAAGTTGGTTCAAACCGAGGGTCCTAGTATTTATAGGAGCATTTAGTACTTTGAACCATTAACCTTCTGAAGGACTAAACACATTTACTTCTGGAAACTTATTTTGGCTCGGACTTTGGGATTTGTTTGTTTTTATGTATTTTGGTAGCAGATTTCTTATCCCCTTTCTTTCTTGTGCCCTATGTTAATGAAGAGAGGATGGCTCAGTTTGTGTCGCAGCTGAAGCTGCCTGCTGCAATGCTTGCTTCCCAAGCTCATGGAAAACCAGGGCCACCAGGAAAAGACGGTTTACCAGGGCCACCAGGACAAGACGGTTTACCAGGGCCACCAGGAGAACGTGGACTTCAGGGTAGGAGTTCCAAAAAAATGTTTTTATGAATTGAAATCTTGAAATCTTTATTCACTTGCTAATGATCATTAAATAAGCCAGGACTACATGTCTAGCTTCCTAATGATTAACTTTTAAAACTGTACTTAATATTTTTCCGGACTAGAGCTAAATATTAACCCATAGTAGATGTGTGGATTATACTGATTAAAAATTCCTAATCAGTGCATTTTATTCTAATGAATGATGAAGTACTGACAGATATCTAAAGCTGACAGATATCTAAAACTATTGTAGCAGTTATTTTTTCTCTAAAATACTTTAATGAGGAAGAGAAACTATGCCAGCACTCTAATGTAGCTATTTACATCCTGATCCACATTAAGAGACTATCTTATTTAAGAAACAAGTTTTGAGCTCCAAGTCCAAGTGCTTTCAGCTCTGATACTGAGACATCACTGGGGAGGAAAGATTGAAGGCAAATATTGTTCTTTAAGAAGCAGTGAGAACTGAAATAGTACAGCATGAATACCTTTTATAGTGAAATAATCTATTCTGACAAATCAACTTCTGAGTAATCCGCTTTTCACTATATCCTGAACTGTAATTTGTGCATTGCAGTGCATTCAGGCAGTGTAGGACTCTCGTTCCACTGAACCGTCCTTCACTGTGAAATTAACTTCAAGGGGTCCAAGATCATTATAACTGTGTTCTCCTGTGGATTCAGCCTGTCAGAGGTTAAACGGAGGAGAATGGAATAAAGGAAAAATAATTTATAGAACAATAATATTTTGTGGGTAATATGTAATTTGCAGTTTATCTGTAGGTAGTTCTTAATTATTATCTTTTGTTAGTTTGGTCTGCTCTGGAGTCAGAGCAAGTCAGACTGGATTGAAGAACATGAAAGCAAAACTGAAGATGTGTGGATCCTAAAGCTATCAGAAGAATAAAGACTTATTAACATTGATAAGAGCAAACCCTTGAGAGAAGCTTGAAAAATATGATGAGCTCAGAATAAGAAGAACAAACAAGAATAAAGGATCAAAGAAAACAATTAAAAGGCTTAGAGTCTTACAACACTGACTTCTTCATTTTCTAAATATTCAGATTACTGTAAACAGTCAACTTTAATGTCAGTGCCAGATTGTGCAATGATTATGTATGCGGTGGATAGTCTCAGATGCTTCTGGGAAGTAGCACGTTGTACTAGGCTTAACTTCCAGCTAGTGAGCATCAAGAGTGAAGATGATAGCTATGCTTGAAAACAAATAAAGCTGCTTTTTCATGCCTTATGCTTAAGTAAAAGTAGTGCCCCAGGTACATAGGATTTCCATGTATTTTACCAGTATGCTCAATACTGTTTTTTGGTTAGTAAGAGTTAAACTAAGTGAGAAGCATTTACTTCTCTGATATATCAGAAGATATATAAAGTTATACTGCAAAAGAAAGCACGCCAAACATTTGTCTTGCCTCCTTATTACACTATGAGTAAAAGATATTACCCTGAGAGAAGCACAGTTACAAATACAGTTCATGCCTTTCCCTGCTGTGCCTGTCCATGTTATTGTTTTGTGCCAACAGGAAAATGAAATTCGTATCTCTGAGCAGATTGAAAAGTATCCTTGCATATTTCAGTTTATTCTCAGCCATAAAAGATGTGGCAGGCAGGACTTTTTGGAGAAGCATGTTATATGCATGTGTGTCTGAGGCCATCAGGGTAGCACGCTTTCTGCACGTATGCCCAGGTCAGCGAGGAAGCATGCTGTGTTCATGTACATAGTCGGTGTGCTAAACAGATAATATGCATCGGACAGGATTTTTCATACTGCAAAACAGTATGGCGAGCGGGGAAACAGCGAGTAAGCAAGTATTGACAGCCAGTTATTCATTATAGTAATTCTCACTTGTTTGCAACCCAGATTGCCTACTCCAGGTATTTAATAGGGTGTTACTCTGTGCAGTAATATGCATCTGGGCTGCCAGAGTGAATCAGTGTCTATTTTGGTCACTTACATGTCCCATATAGTCACTGAAAAGTAGACGCTTTTGAAGAGTAATTCATAGGACCTGCGTGATCACTTGCAGAGCAGGTGGCTATTCGTGCATGCTGAGCAGAGGGCCTCCTCGAGGAGGCAGGTGTTGCCTGTCTTTATTTAAGGCATTCTTAAACTATTGGGAATAGAGGCATCCATTTCTAATGAATTCTAGAATTGTAACCTGCTATCCTTGAGTAAGGTTGGTCCTAGTATGGATCAGGTAGTTCCCAATGCTTTAGGTACAAATAATTTTGATTTTATACGATGGTCTCAGTAAAAACATAGCATGCAAACGAAAAAAAACCAACAGAGTTGCAACATGAATGATGAAATATGCATTTGGCGGTTAAACAGACTTTGTATAAGAATGATTGAAAGATTGATGTATATGTTTCCTCACTGAAAAAAAAAAAATTACCTATGGCGTAAGCTACAGGAAGCTGATACTGTGAGGCACTGTGACCAGTGAAATGTACAGCATCTGTTTAAGGGAGAGCAGAGGAACTAGTTTACTATGTATGTGTTTCAAAGGATGCTAGTGTCTTTTAGACAAACAAGAAGTTTATTTAAACACTTTATTGACAAGTTTTACCATCATCCATTTTGCATGCAATCAGTCAGACTCTGTCATGTGTTAGATAAACTAGCTCAATTAACTCCATTGATTTAATTAGATTTTTAAAAATAAAATAGAAAGTGAGTTTTGGTCCATTAGTCCAAATTCACATTGGGGTAATTTTGCAATCCAGAGATGCATATTATCCCTTGCATTAATGAGACTATTGATTTTTGTCCTAAGGAAAAGAAGGGTTCATCCTAGTTAAAGTTCACTGTTTCTGTTATATTAAGGAAACATCAAGAGATTTTTATGGATCCTCAAAACTCGTGGTAGCCCCAGGGAATCAACCATCTCAGCTCAGGAAAGAAAAATACCATTTGATGAATAGTAAAAATTCCCTTTCTTGATTGCTGAACTCTGCTTTAAAATTTATATCTGTTGCTAATTTGTATTGTGGGAGCATCTAGAGGCCTTGGTTGACATCAGGAGCCCATTGTAGTAGATGCTGTCCAGATAGGGTCACTTTTTACTTCAGAAATAGCTGCAGAGTTTTAAAGTCTTACCTCCCCTAAGCTGTTCTTTACTGTGGAAGTGAAATCAACTTATTTTTACTCTGATTTGAAAACCAGTTACTACCTCACAGCTGAGAGGGCTGTGACGCAAAGAACAGATTCAGACTGTGCACTGGAAACTGGATAGGAAGGGCTTGCTTGCTCTTAGCACCATTTCTGCTGCTTTGCCGTTTTGTGTTTTTACGAATGCAGTGATATGCACACTATTTGCACACTGAAATACAATGGATACTTTGGAATCATTGTTCTCTGCTGTGTTAATGTATTTGCCTCACATTTGTGTTAAAAGAACCTCAGATTTCTCTGGATACTGCCGTGCTAGTTTCGGCTGCTGTATTCGCCATGCACATGGAAGAGGGTCTCAGAATATAGATGGAATTCCCTTTGGGGCTGTTTAAATGAGATGACTTTTTCTATCCCTCCAGAGCATACAGATACGAAATAGTATCATTTCCAAGTAGAGCTCAGGCTGTTGCAATATTTGCTTCTGACAGACTGCAATATTTGTAGTACTGTTAGATAGCACCAAACCATAAGCTACGTTTTAGCTATCACTGGTCTATGAACAGAAGAAGAGTGCTTAATCTGCTTAAATACATACTTGCTACATACTACTACTAAGTGTTTACCATACCACCCACATTGGGTACATGTTTACATGCAACAACTTTTGGGATGCAGAAATTGTGACAAAACTTCTGGAACCCAAGTGAAAGGCTTTGGTAAAGCAGTTGCCTCTGGAAGCCTTTCGAATCAAGCAGGAACCTCTTACTGGAGTTGTGATTCTACCAGTAGAAGCATAAAATATCTTATATTTGCCTTTGTGTTAAAACCAATAAATCGAAACCTTATTCAGGTATGTGATAATATTTTCCTTTGACTGTGTATGAATTTGTCACTTTAAGCTCAGATAGAAGGTAATACTATCCTCTGGAAGTGTAATCATGGGACCTGCTTCTGAGCAAAATATACCTCACTGAAAATCAAATATTGCACTGCCAGAGTCACATATTGCATTGTTTAGATTGTTTACTTATAAGCCTGTTTACTTATATGCTTATACTCTGTTAAATAAAGCCTTGTTTTTAGGAAAGCTACCCGGGAAATTTTATATTAAACTTCAGTGTTAACAAAACTTGCTCTGCCACTATGTACGAACTACACCTTTGTATATGTATCCAGGTACAGCTAGTAATTGTTTACTCAGTCCTTGTTCATACATTTGCATAGGCAGCCTGCTGTTTGTACTGTTGTTTTTTTTCCCCCTTATTGTCTTGAATTCCAGTGATGTTTACAGAATCTTTCAATCTATCTTGATCCATTTTCAACTATGTTATGTCAGTTATCTACAATAATGCTATTATGGAGATTGTAAATGTGCTATATCGTAAATGTGATTTCTCTCTCTTCCCCATAGCTCAAGAAATGCAAAACAGATAATGAGTGGCAGCACTACTTTGTAAAATTATAATTAACTGGGTTTGTAGTGAGAAATGTACTGTAACTATCTATTGTAAATTAAGAAACATAGAGATATATAATAAATAGGAAATGTAATAGACTCTGTGGTTGTGTGATTGAGCTTCTCAAACAGTCGCAACTGCTATGTATTACACAAGATTTTTCACAGCCAGCCAGCTTTGATACAGTTATAAATATTACTGTGGTCATTAAAGCGCAAACAAGATTCACCATGAATACCAACACCATCAGATTCCCTTTTCTGAATCTCTGTAGCTTGTGTGCTTATGCACCTCACACAATTGTGTTTAACACAACTTGGTTACCAGAATGCATGATTAATATGAAGTTTGTTTTTCTGTGACCTTTTAAACAGTTTATTTCCTTTTGTTATGTTTTGCATGTCATTCTGCATGCATTTTTCTACTGTTTTGCCTGTATGAATTCCACTGTCATTTCTTTGCTGGGGTGTTGAAGAGAGTAAGCTAACTGATGCTCTGTTTTGAAATCCAGGATGATTGCAATTGATAATGGAAATTCTACTGAAATGTATAATAAGCTTGTGTTTAACAGAAAGTTTGAATACCTTGTGTACCATTCCTCTTGCACTGGGTCTGCTGAAACCCTGAACTGGTACCCACAGTGTTTATAATAGCTTCCTTCTTGACTGTCCTGCAAAGCAGCAGTGCTGCCATAGACTGAGGTGCACTGACATGGCAGCCTTTGCCATTCCTCTGCCAGTGCCCTTTACTCTTCAGGAGACATGAGTTGGACTGATAGCACTATGCTGACTGGTCAGCTGTGTCTCTTCTCTTTTAATTTAAAATAAGTTACAGCTCCTCCACAAAGAAAATTTGTTGTATGGCATGCCTGACACTGGAAATACGCTGGTCCCGGAAGCAGAACAAATTTAATAACAAATGTGACCAGAAGTCTGCAAATTAATCGCTAGCATATGTCACCTTACAGGCCGACAGCTGAGGTGTTGGGGAGGAGAGGTAAGAGGATTTTCTTATAACCCTTTTAAAATAAGGGGTTGTGGCAAGTGCCACGTTTGTTCCTTTCAAAATGCCTGAGAATCCTTTCATTCCTCCTCCTACATAAATTGTGTTTCAATAGAAAAGCTATATCTTCATAGATTTTTAACTTGAAATAGTAAGCAAAATCTTATACTGGTACCCGTGAGTCCTCTGCTCTAAGGCATCCAGAATGTTTCCAGCTGATAAAAACATAGCCAGAGTTTAGGAAAAAAGAGTCGCATAGTGTGGGTGTGAGTTGCAGCACATAACAAGGTGGAAGCTAATTATCTTTAATACAGAGCTCAGGCCTGTGAAGAAAACAGGCACAAACATTCAAAATATAATTAGCGATCACACCATATTGACAATATATAGGTACTTGGGCCAAAGTCGGCTTTGCATGCTAGAACCCGTAATCTGCACGAGCTCTAGAGACACCTTGTTCGGAGCGAGGGCAGCTGTGTAACACCGGAGGGAGGACTGCGTCCACTTTTACATATGGTGAAATATCCAAGTGTACGACTTCCAGTCTAAACTTTACAGTCTAAAAAGTGCATACATAAAGATCTATGTGTAGTAGCAAGGGCAAAGTCTCGCTCAGGTGTTGGGCTATCCCAGGGAGAAAGACTGACTGCCCTGGTTGTGCTTGCGTGAGTACGGTCAGTGAAACCTGTGGTCAGATTCCAGGCAGCGTTTGGGTTGCTGCGGTATATCCGTTCACCAAGCAGGTGACACTGAAGGAAAACACACATTACGTTCTTTATTAGGAAGGGAACTTAAAATCTTTGGGAAAGGTGAGGCTAGTATATCTAGCAAGAGTCCTTTATCAGAGGATACGGCAGTTACTGCTCGAAATCCTCATATTTTGCAGAAGGAACATATAAACTAACAGTTGTATTACCAGTATCAGAAAAAAGTGGGCATCTGTTTTCACATTTGCATTTGGCTTGATATATCATTTCCTGTCAATAAGATAGATAGCAGATTACTGTTTATAACAAGAGGACACTCTTATTTTCATATCTCTATTCTGTGTAGGTTATAGAGGACAGAAAGGGGAAAGAGGTGAGCCTGGAATTGGACTGCCTGGTGATCCTGGACCACCTGGCCCTTCAGGTACAAGTCTCCAGATTTATTTACGCTATTGTTAATAATGAACTAACACTCTTTTCTCCTCATTCGCTCATCAGTTTTACCTCAGTATATTTCCTCCTGGTTTTTGCTGCAGCATGAGGTCGGATATACTTGCCTTCTTGCAGACTAGCTGGTGTGAAGCTAACTTTCAGTATTGTAATGCAAGATGCTGTATGCACTCTGGTGAGGGCTATGCTAATTGCTGAATTTATTTTACCAGCTACTGGCCTGCCAGGCCCCCCAGGAGCTCCAGGGTCACCCGGACTGCAGGGGCCACCCGGACCTCATGGAAGGTGCAATCCAGCAGATTGCTATTACCACGTCTCACAGACTCGGTCACGCACCAGTGGAAAATAAAAAACCCTCTCCCAGAGACGCTTGGGTTCACAGCCACTTCTCACTTCTCTCAATAAGTTAATTTAATCTTTGAAATATATGGTGCATTTTTTTTCCCCAGACACTGCATAGTACACAGATAATTTATAAGGCGTACAATTGAGCCTTTTGTATGTTACTTGCAGTGTCATAATTATGAAATGATGCCATTTGTTTTCCAGAGTGCATTCCATGTGTTGTTTCTCATATTTATTTTGCTTAGAGGAGAAAATAGGCCCAAATAATTTTCATAAGCTTCTTTCTTCAAACAGAAAATATTTTATTATAACTTATGACAGTATGTTTGCCTCAGTATGTAAGTTGGTTCTATTTTCCTTGCTAGTGCTGAAGTTTAAATGGAGAAAATGCAGTTCTGAGGTTTTTTAAAGTGTACCTATTAGCAGTGACTGTTGGCTCTCAGCTGGAGTGCTGGGAACTCTGTTTAGACTAAAAGTCACTATCCCCTGAGGAAGCTCCGCACACCTTTCTGAACCAGGTCTGCCATGCACCATGAACACTATCAATCATTTCAGTAATTTCCTAGCGCTCAAGGAAATGAAGGTATTTTATGTGATCTCTCTATTCCCATGCAGCATTTTGATTCAGATTGACTGGAGAGTCACTGGGTGTCGCCTCGGGAAGTATTTCTTGTCGCATGTTATTCCAGTTCAGAACTTGTACCTCTTTTTAGTCCTGGATACATATACTCCAGATAAATTGCTGGGGACCGGTGCTGTTTGTTATTCTTAACTGAGACCTGGCACCTCTTCGAACAGTTAATGAGCCTAGTAAGTGCATTATCATTGTCTTGAATGAAGCTACTCTGTCGTTACGTCTGCTTACGGTGAAAAAGACCTCTTGCTGTAGAGCGTAGCTGTTAGGCAGTGACGGCCAAGAAGCAACCTTCATAGCTCTGAAAACAACTTACTAATGGCACGCTTTCCCTCTTTTTCCTGTAATCATTAGGTGCCAAAATAAGTTTAACAAGAATTTGAACACAAGAGAAAGCAAGGTTCACAGGTCCTAGCAACTGGTTGCAAAAAACCATTCAAGTTCAATAGAAATTTCTGAAAATTACCAAACCCTCCGTTAAAACATATAATACAAGGGAGGTGATTTCATGCAGTTTGCAAGACACTGAACTGGACCAGACATTGTCAAAAAAGCACAAAGCAGAGCAAATCTTACAGAGCTCAAAGTGCTGAGTAAAGGAAAGAAAAGATGAAGAAAATCAATCAGACAGAGACTGATTCTGGAAAAGGAGGGAGAAGGGCTGGCTGCAGGTTCATTCCTGGTTATTATGAAACATGATGCAAGAGCATCTACAGATCAGTCCTAAGGCACTTGTCACAGTGTACTAGAAACTGGAAGGGCTGCTAAGAGAACACAGCTCTGACCCACAACCCTGTGCAAAGCTCCACAACTCATTGTACAAAAACAGTACTGAGGGCTCTGCCCTCTCCATAGGAAGTTAGTAGTTCTCTCCCACTTTGGACAGATAAGTGGTTATGGGGATGACTGTGCTTGAAGAGCAAGAAGTTAATTTGATCAACATCTGATTTTTGCTTAAAAATAGTAAATGCGGAGGGTGCGAGTCTTTAAAAAAACGTAGTGGCGTTTGTTCTGGATAGAGTTCCTAGCGATTGCGCCCAGGCTGAGAGGAGCCACGTTCCTCCAGGAGGCAATGCAGTTAAACTGCTGCCGCTGGGGAGCACAGGGACGCTTTCAGGCCCTCCTTCTGAGAAGAAAAGCCTCCCCTAAGAACAACTGCTCTGAGCATTACTTCAGCTGTTAATCCATTCGCCGTTTCGAGGGAAGAAGGTGCTTGGCACAAGAGCGAAGCTTAAGCGATCGCAGAGGTCGTACGCTGTCGTTAAGACACGAGGAGCAGGCCAGCCGCAAGGAGGACGGCAGAGAAACTTGGTCGTATCGTGAAGCCCGTCGCTTCTGGGTGAGCCGTCGTGTGTGCTGCAGCAGGGGACGCCTGCAGGGGGGCTTTCGGGTATTTCGTGCTTCTCTTGTGAAGGTCAGCGTGATGGGTCAGACCACAGTTTCTCCTGTCCCATTTTCCACGCGTCCCTCGGGAGGGGACAAGCG